CTGTCCAACTGGTGTTCTCTTCCTGAAACTAGAAACGTGGAAAATGACCATGGTGCACCTAGCTAGCTACATCTCTCTTGGAATATCCCTGTAACCAGCACTACTATGCCCCTCCATGGGCTGGAAAGTCAGTATCTGCAAAAATGTCGGGCGATAACTAATACATGCAGCCTCCTTTTCTGCATGGGCTGTGAAAATTATATGAACTTCAGAGAGCCTATATGACTACAGCAAGCTGCTCACTGGAAACGTTTGCTAAATGCATGGGTGGCTGTAACGCTGGAGAGGCAAGATACCATGTTCCTACTCTCCCTTTGCACAATTCCAGTCTCATGAGAAATCTTTCATAAAGCTATGAAACAAATTGTGGCACAAAGCAATAGATTCGGCTTGCATCAATTATGAATAGTAACGTACTGGAGTAAAAGATATCCAGAATTTGATAAGATCAGGTCAGCACTGGATAAAAAGTTGAAGATTGTGGACAAGAACCACATACACTGCATCCAAACCACAAACAGAAATTTAAGACTGTCAGCAATTTATTTAACATAGATGTTGCAAAAAAAGAAGAAGAAAAGAAAGAAAACAATCTATTCTGAATATATGAAACCAGCCCTGGCCTACACTGTACCTAATATGGGCCCCAGCTGAATTTCAAAATCATTTCCTTTCCATAGAATCATTCTAGCATAAAAATAAAAAATAATTAGGCAACTGCACATCCTAAAATTATGTATATTTACGGGTGTTATTTGATTTTTTTTTTTTACAAGAAAACCACTTTTGCCTTGCAGTGACATTGATTAATGACATTTGGAATCAAATGTGTATTGTTTTATTTTTAATCAGTTTCTTTCTTCACTAACAGTGAGGATTGCTTCATAAGCCAAAAAATAGAGGATGGGGGAGAAATGTCAGTATGGCCACACCCCAGGTATAAAGAGTAAACTAGTGCCACATTTAACACAGATATTAATATCTTTTCACTATCAAAGAATTAGCATTTTCACTATTATTCTTTTCAATAAGTTTACTGTGTTTTAAGTGTATGAATTTAGTGTTTTTAAACACATTTATTCACTGTTTTTCAAAAACTTTTTATCAAAATAGGTTTTAGCGCTACTTCATTTTAATTTGTTGTAAGAAAGGAAAAAGACGGGTTATAAGTGAAACAAATCATCTTAAACACCAAAAACTCCAGTAAAAAATGGATCAAGTGCAGAGTTAAGTAAAAACATTAAAATTAAATGATATCACATTAAATCAAAGGTGTAACAATAAACTGAAAAGTTATCTAGTGTGCCTAATTATTGCAAGAGTGGGAATTAATCAATCCTCCCCAATTGGTTGAACAGCAGCTCTCAGCAATTCTAGCCAGGATAGTCAATAATGGAAAATGCTAGGAGGGGAGCATAATTCCTATTCTAATTTACTATAAAAATACAAGCATCGCTGTAGAGCAGACATGGGCAAACTTTGGCCCTGCAGTTGTTTTGGTCTTCACCTCCCACAATTCCTAACAGTCGGTAAGCTAGATGGGATTTCTGGGAGTTGAAGTCCAAAGACACTCGAAGGACTTACATTTGTCCATGCCTGCAGTAAATTAAGGATGTTTCCTGCCACAAAACTGAATAATCCAATTTTTTCCTTTGCCCCAATATTTGGCAGCTCATATCCTTCTTCCAATTTACTAACACTAGTGTTTCACCAGCAGTGTTGACCAGTTCCTAGGTATTAGAGCAAAACCAACAATATGTATTTATGTATTTATTTATTTAAAGCATTTATATTCTGCCCTTCTCACCCCAAAGGGGACTCAGGGCAGAGCACAACATATATACGGCAAACATTCAATGCCAGAATAAAACAAACTATAAATATACACAAACATTAAAATCAGTTGTATCTACTTTGAAATCAAATTGTTGAAACCATCTCAGTCCAGCCATACTGGGTGGTTTCCTGTTATTACCTTATTGAACTATCCCAAAGGCTTGGTCCCACAGCCAAGTTTTTATGATCTTTCTGAAGGACAGGAGGCAGAGGGCTGATCTAATCTCACCAGGGAGGGAGTTCCATAGCCGAGGGGCAATCACTGAGGAGGCCCTCTCTCTCACCCCCGCCAATCACACACATGATGGTCGTGGGATCGCGAGCAGGGCCTCTGCTTAATGTTATAGGTCAAAAAAACCTGAAGGGCCAGATTTGCCCACCTTGCTGTAGGGTCAAAATTCTGTTGATCCAGTGGCCTATACTGACATATGAAATGGCACTAGAAGGATAAGGGCAGCAGACACAATAGCTGTAAAAGAAAGTAGCAGTAAAAAACAGACACTAGAGCAGGCATGGGCAAAATTCCTAACAGCTGTGGGAGTTGAAGTCCAAAACACCTGGAGGGCCAAAGTTTGCCCATGCCTGTACTAGAGGGACAGTTGCTTCGAACCAATGGTTTTCCCTGTCTTTCCTTGACATAGCTGTGCAAACCTGGAAAAAAGTGCAACTGTCAGCATAGTGCACCAGAAGTCTGGCCAAAAAATGTAATGACTTCAATGTTTTCAGATCTATTCTAAAGATACCAACATTGATCAGCATTACGCAATCTCCACAATCAAAATAGAGGAAGTCTGTAAGTTCATAACATAACTATGCTAAAGTCAGGTACCAGTATAAGCTCTTTTCTTGGTGTCTGTAATAAATGACTAACACGTTTGCATGTTATTTGAGAAATATGTGAACCCACTATTAAAGGTGAAAAAAATTACCAATAGCAAAACCACCTTATCATCGCAATCACTAGCATGGTCCATGGCTTCTGAGCTCACTCTTTAATTGACTCATCTGCCAATTAATGACAACACACAATTTCATGAAAGGTATACCGACCACAAAAACATAAACCCTAATAAATCTGCCTCAAAACTATTTTCAGTGCTTGAATTATGAGGATCCTTAATGCATTCTACAAATTCCTACCACAATGCCTTTCAATTTTAGGCAGATTGTGCCCTTCTGCCCCATAGTCTTCTGTCTAAGTGATTTAAGGTTGAAAGAGCTGCATAAAAGTTTGGGGGGGAGGCCTTTCCTGCCTCCGCACTTACAATCTGAGAAGTGGTATTCTCCTCCAGTTCCCTGCATGTGATATTTTATTTCTCCTTGATCTGCAAGTGAGCCTGTCTCCAAGTGTAGCATGTCAGATGAGGTGTTTCTTTGCAAAAAATCAAGTATAAACTGCTTGCTGCTATAGAAAGTGTGTATGGGCAGGACTTGGAGGAGAAGGGGGAAATATGGTTGTATATGCTATTCTGTCTCTGCTCTGGTTTAAACTGCTATAGGAAAATGAACTCCTTAAATTGTATATTGTTGGGGGGGGGACGACCCAAATCCCACTGGCAATATTGGCTTCTAGCCATTTACAATGCAACACCAGTGCTGTGTTTTGAACGACACATTGGTGTCTAAAGCTGATGACAGCAAAATCTGAGTGTTTTGTTGACTTGTGGATCATTTCTTTAAAGATAAATGTCAGCATAACTATACTTTCATAACAAGTTCCGTTTTGATATAGTGCAGTGTCATTGTCTTGGTTTGAAGCTGCTGAAGCCGTGCTACCTCTCAATGACAAAGCATGACATTCTTGCACAAGAAGCAGACCTATAGCACTTATATATATATTGGCAAGTTATGTTGCGAGGTTCTTTTAATAACTATTTTATGTATTATGAAGTTTTACGGCACAAACTGACACAAGCATACACTGTAATGCAAAATTTGGTAAGTTACATATCTAACATTAACAATCACAGCACATTGAAAACTTTTTTCCCCATTTTCACAGATACATGACATGACTCCTACATGTAGTGCCTTGGACAAGTGAAACAGTTAAAACTTAGGTTTTTCCCCATACTAAAGAAGAGGATTTATTGAATTACAATCAACAGAAAGCCAACTATCTAGTTTTAATACCCTTATTGCTATGTGCTTGTGTTCTCTGCAAAATCCTGCGCTACTGCATTTTGGATAAGGGATACTCAACCTGAAACTTTTTATGTAACTGTTTTTACAAGTATTGTATAGAGTTACCTTGAGGCTATATAGGAAACACGAATGAATTTCACATTTAGACTTGGCTTCCATCTCCAAGATATCTCATTATATACAATATATACAAAAACAGGTATACCAAAATCTGGAAAAAAAATCCAAAACACTTTGGGTTCCAAGGCTTTTGGATAAAAGATACTCAATTTCTATCACTATCTAAAGCAAAGTATCACTTTCTACAAAAATCATTAATTCCAGTACGAAATCTGGAATACTGCAAACACATGTTGAGAATCCTAACCTCACTTAAACTGCTTTTTAAATGTGTTTCTTCACATTTTGCCTACTAAAAAACTCTTGTACAGTTGAAAAACATGTAGGCTGCATTGTGAGCTTCCATTACCAATCCTGAAAAGCAACAATAGCAAGAAAGCAATGTGAACCTTCAAGACTGTTCTGGTTCAAATATCCACTGCTATGTGAGATGCTTAAACTTGAGAAGTCCTATTAAAATGACAGCAAGAAGCTTCAGCAGACAAATACAGACACTAAGCGGCTTTCTATGAGAAGTTTGGCAGCTTAGCTCAGTGAAGACTCCACACTGTGTGCCAGCAGGCTGGGCTCCATTGAATTTGAGGCCATTCTGCTCTATTTAGTAGTACAGTACATTGCTTATATAAACCACACAAAACAGGGAAGACATTCTACAATGTGGGTCAGAAAGGCTATTTTACAAGCCTAAAATACACAAAATTACATGCGCAAGAAAAACTGTCTACTGACAGGAGAAAGTATATTTTAGGTATGGAAACAAAATGCTACAAGATGGGAAAAAAACAGTAAGCAATGAAATTAACAAGTGCTGCATAGTTATAGCAGTTGATAATGAGATCTGTAAAATTAGTTGTCCCAGTTCCCAAGTCTTCAAAATGTGATGAAGATATAGTACTTACCTTACTCCTATAAGAAGAGCAATCAGCATTGAACAGATAGGGTCCGCTATCATTAAACCATAGTTCTGCATCAATAGTGCAGATATGATAACACCAACACTTCCAAGTGTGTCAGCAACAATGTGCAAAAATACACCTACAAGAAAACATGTATGAGATGAGAGTGAGTATAAATGTGTTTTCTCAACATCAAAGCTCACTGGGGCTTTAAATAAGGGATTATGATGATACTTGACATGGCAACAAACAATAATTTGCCCTATGAACATTTTCCTCATTTACAAGGATCCCATTTATGGACTGCCTCTTCCCAAAACATGGATCTAGTTCCATATTTGCCATAGTTAATCTCTTATTTATGTTTCAAAGATGTCAGCAATATCCCTGGGCCATTCAAATCAATTTAAAGGGCTATACTTTAGATTTCCAAATGATCGCATTTTGGGGCCTCTAATGTTTGGAAACAAGGGACAGTTTTTTCTGAAGTAAACCACTTGCTGTAGAACAGCTTCAGCTAAAATAAATAAAAACTCTCCGTCTATAAGATATAAAGAAGATAAAAATATGGGAGACTGCGAGCCACGGTTAATCTGTTTTTACTAGCAAAATGAAAACAATTTCCCAGATCCCTTGTGTTTTGAGCTGCAGAATTTCTTTGTTTTAGTACCAGCCACAAATTATTTTGCCAAATAAACTACTCATACTTTAATTCCAGCAGATCGCACAAATCTGGGCAAGTGTCAAGCCAATCAATCCTCATAGCAGCTATCTAAAACCAAGCCTGTGGATCCCTCTACTGGTAGCTGAAGGTATTATTGCCAATAACACATCCAAAGGTAGAATGACCTTTACAAGATTTTTAAAGCTTCTGCCTATTGCCTTTAGTGTTGTTTAATTTGAGAAAAACATGATTTATTGCTTTCCTTTATGCCCCATCTTTTTCTCACAATGAGACCCAAGGCAATTCACAACATAGAATAAAACAAAGTACAATTAAACAGCAATTATAATAAAAATAAAACAATTAGAAAACTATGTATTGTCGAAGACTTTCATGGCCGGAATCACTCAGTTCTTGTGGGTTTTTTCGGGCTATATGGCCATGTTCTAGAGGCATTTCTCCTGACGTTTCGCCTGCATCTATGGCAAGCTTCCTCAGAGGTGAGGTCTGCTGGAGCTGGGAAAAAAGGGGGTTTATATATCTGTGGAATGACCAGGGTGAGACAAAAGGCTTTTGTAAGTGGGCTAGGTGTGAATCTTTTCAACTGACCACCTTGATTAGCATACAATGGGCTGACTGTGCCTGGAGCAAACTCTTCTTGAAAGGTGATTAAATGTCCCTGCCTGTTTTTCTCTCTGCTGTTTTAATTTTAGAATTTTTTTTAATACTGGTAGCCAGATTTTGTTCATTTTCATGGTTTCTTCCTTTCTGTTGAAATTGTCCACATGTTTGTGGATTTCAATGGCTTCTCTGTGTAGTCTGACATGGTGGTTGTGAGAGTGGTCCAGCATTTTTGTGTTCTCAAATAAAATGCTGTGTCCAGGTTGAAAACTAGTTAGAATCTGGCCCTTTACCCCTACTTATTACCCTGGTCAGTTCCCCAATTGGCTCAGGAAATGAGCATCTACAGGCCCCATTGCTTGGCTCCCTATGGCTAACTTTGCACTACCTCTGGCCCGACCATCCCAAACAGCCTAGACCCTTTCTGAAAGTCCGGCCGTAATAGTTAATCCTGGCACAAAAATAAGGTCGATTGGTTTTATTGTACATGTGTTGTTTGACTATTTTATGCTTATGTATTGATCTGTTTTGTTGTTGTTGTTTTTGCTTATTCTGTATGGTTTTGTGTTTTTACATTTTGGAAATCGCCCTGAGTCTACCAGGGGAGATAAAGCAGTATATAAATAAAATTTTATTATACTATTATTGTAATTAAATAAACCATCCTATTAAAAAGCACTAATTTAAAACTACTTAAAAGCATTTAAAATGTGCCAATGAAAATCAAAATATGCTTCCTATCCATTAAAAGATGTTTCAGCTATGAAAAGTTAACACCCTGGTTAAATCAAGAAGCCTTTACTAGTTAGCAGAATGTCATTTTAACTTACAAGAGCCAGAAGGCTACCACAAATGTCAAGTAATCATTCTGAAGCTTCTACCTAACATAATATGTAAAAGTATTTTTAATGGATCTGGCACCCTCTGCAGGCATACACTGGAAAAAACAAATTAAAAATTGTCATGGAGAGATATGATTTTAAAGACACACCACTCAACACACTCAAGTCATACAAGGGTTTATATCTACTCTATCATATTTAGCACCGACCACATGAGGCTAAAATGGAAAAAAAGTATTAATACAAACAGAAAACTAGAAAACTGTAACAAAAAGCAGAACTTTCATTTTACTTTCATTTTCTCTCTATAGCTGAAATTCTATTATCAAGACAAACGAAAAACTCCATACATGTGCTGGAAAACTGGAAATGATCCTAGTTATCTGCCTCTTTCTAAGATAGATCTGCCTCTCAGTAACATACCAACTTCGTTGGAAATGCTAGTACTGTATTACTGGCAATATGTTTAGAGTGTATATTTCTAAGCCACAAGAGCAAAGACAAAGATCCACCCAGAGGAAAAGTGTTTTTATCATACATCAAGGGAACCACTGACCGCATAGGGCAGCTGATGAAGAAACACAACCTACAAACTATCTACAGACCTACTAAGAAAATCCAACAAGTACTACGTTCAGCAAATGACAAAAGGGATTCTCTCACCTTTGCAGGAGTGTACCATACACCATGCAGCTGTGGACAAGTCTACATAGGGATCACCAAATGCAGCAATGCCCAGCAGCTGGAAGGAATGCTTTGCCCCCAAATGCTGCAAAATGTCCACTGACTGGTCACAAAATGTTTCATCATATTCTGGCAAACCCCTGAGCTAATTTAGGTTGAGGAAAGGTCTTTTTTGAAACTCAAAACTTGGAGAAAATGCTCCCAGGTTTGGGTTTTTTGGAGGGAACAGTTGTAGCTCTCCAGGGTAGCGTGGCTTTTAGTCTTCCATAGTTACTACTGAACCCTGAACGAGGTAAAGCAGGAAGACACTGGTTTGCTCCATATTAACCAACATTTTTGTAAAAAAACAACTTATATGAGGTATTATTACTTCCAGGTTCTCACTTTGCTGTTCGAGTTTTATGTCAGCAGAATTTGAAATTCGATCCACTTATTCACATCTTACCTTCTAGAATTTGCTTGCTGGATCCACCAGACAATTCAATGGGTTGATCATCTGTAAAAACAAGAAAGTATATCTTTGTTATCCTCTTCATGCTTTTGAGATGTTGTTTAACACATAATATTACAAAAGGATATTGTTTTCAGCAGCTGCTTAGACAATACAACTGATCTTTTTAACCTAATAGATCTGGGAACACTTTAAGAAAATATATGCCTAAACTTATTTTTAAAAATCACTAAGAAGAGGGGATGAAAGGAGAACTCAATGAATCCTACAAAACACAAAACCTCCAGACACTTTTTTAACACAAGCATGGCAGGGAGAAGTAAACAGTGGAAGGGAAAAGCTAGCAAAGGTGATTCAGCCAATGGAAAGGTTTCCTTACTGGCGAGGTCACAGCGTCATAACTCCAGGTTTTTCGAAACCATGAGTGTTTTTTTTTTCCCTGAGGGCCCTTCCACACAGCCATTTAACCCAGAATATCAAGGCAGAAAGTCCCACAATATCTGCTTAGAACTGGGTTATCTGAGTCCACACTGCCATATATCCCAGTTCAAAGCAGATAATGTGGGATTTTATTCAGCTGTGTGGAAGGGGCCTGAGAATTCAGAAGCAAGTGAAACACAGCCCCACCTTGAGAATGAACACTGAGAATTCAGGCATGAACTGTCCCATACTATTTCAAGGGTCAATATTGTTCTTCAGCTGTACCACTCATGTTTCATTTGCCTGCCCCAATATATTAGTTCAACATCTAAATAGTAGGAAACTGTTCTTTGGAAAAGAAGAACAACATCACTATACTTAAGACTAGCAAATTATTCTTTCTTTCAAAACAGGAAAATAAATAGTGTTTGTCAACAATGCCACTGTTGCTCCAAATGAGTCTCATCACATATTTTATTCCCAGCACTATCCTGTTAAGAGATTAGACTAAGAGATGGCAAGTGGCCTAAGATCACAGGGTGAACTGTTGGTTATTACACTTTGGACACCACAATCCCAGTCCAGAACCTAACTAGTATAGTACATCAACTCACTGGATTACTACCACACCACAAGAAGCACTTTACAGCTGCAAAAATTAGGCTACTGGGTGTTTATTTTCAAATGACAAGAATAATTCTAATAATAATAACAACAACAAAAACAACAACTTTATTTCTAGACCGCCCTCTATCCCTGAAGGGACTCAGGGCAGTTTACACACAAAAGAAGGCAAACATTCAATGCCCAAATAAGTTCAAACACATTAAAAATACAGAGTAATGCACAATAATAATAGTAAACTTATAACAAAAAATTAAGCATCAACATGAAAACAGAATAAAAATAATCCAATGGGACATAATAACACTACCCACATAATTACACATTTAGAGGGTCTAACATTCTTAAAAAACAGAAGGCCTTGTATAAATCTGAAATACAACTTAAGAACAAACCTAGAGAACCTATCTTGTTGCCTATATTTCAAAGGGAAGCGTGGGGCTGCTTTTGGCTGAAAGGATAGACAAGTTAATTAGGATTCTTGTTATTGTGTGTCTTCAGGTCATTTCAGATTAAGGGCAATCCTAAGTCTAAAGTTTACAACAGGGGCTGGGTGAATGATCTTGGAGGGCCACATCCAGCCCATGGATCTTAGTTCAGGGACCCCCGCTACAGATCATCCAATGTGATTCTATAACCAGCTTCCAATGGAAATTGACTACAGAGTTATGCTGTGAGAGCAAGACATTCCTAGAGAGATGTTCTTTCAGGTGTAAAAAATAGCAATTGATTTATTTGAGATTTTTCACTTTCATGGGGGTCCTGTGCCTGTAACCCCAACAAATGTGCAGGGCTGACTGTCAAGATCAGTCAAGAAGTGAGCTTTCTGTCTCAAACACACACTTACCATGACAGTAATCTTCACTCTGCCCATGCCCATGGCTGTGACTATGAGAATGTCCATGACCATGCCCGTGCTTGGAATCATGACTATGACCATGACCTCCATGACTGTGACCATGGCTTAAAGCACCATTAAACAATGAATGGCTATGTTCATGTCCTATAAAAAAAGATTTGTGAGAAAATGATTAGTTTCATTATAACTGTAATCTCTCAAGATCAATGCTTTCTATTGTATTATGTACAACATGTTACAGAATAAAAATGACAGAAACAGTAAAAACATTTCCATAGCCAAGGCCAAAAAATCCAAGTGGTTTCCCTTCTCTCCCGCAGCTCATGCCAGGAATTAACACAGACAATATAATGCCCCTGAATCTATTATTGAAGCAATCCATCTCACCCTTGTGCAAGGAACATCTTTGATCAGTTATCATCCAACTAATGAGCAGGATTTGTTTTGATTAATAAAACAATAGTTTTTATGAAGATTTGTTTTCAACTCATGTATGAATACAGGTCATATCTTAGAAACGGCATTCCACTTTCCTTCTCACATGAGGGAATACTTACTACCTGCCATTTTTGTCATTGTTGTGTTTGCCTTCAAGTCATTTCTGACTTATGGCAACCCTAAGGCAAGCATAGGATTTTCATGACAAGATTTGTTTGGAGAGGGTTTCCATTTCATTCCTGAGGTTGAAAGGGTGCAATTTGCCCAATGCCAGTTCAGAAGCAACTGTGTTGGACCAATTCACCTGGTTTCACATCTTACGTTGTAAGTAGCGATTAGACACATTTGTTAGTTGGGTATCACAGGAAACAATGGTATAGTAAGTCAAGATAAAAACCATGAAGATGCACAAAGAGCCTACATATCCTACAGGCACAAGATCCTTTCTGATCTTAGAAATGAAGTAGAGTCAGCCCTGGTTAGAAATTGAAAGGAAGATTTCCAATGAATAACAGGTGCTGTTAGCTATATTGCAGCGGAAAGAATTGCAAAACAAGTATCCCTTGCTAAACAAACCCTATTAAATTAATGAGGTTATAGGTCATCAGGCAACTTAAAGGCATGCTCACACACTAAGATACACAAGGCACATGTCTTTATCTCAAGCTGGTACAACATGACGAGATAGTAACATATCCTATTCCTACCTATATTTTTTATTATTGTAAGTTGCAGCATGCTTGGCTTGTGAGAACTATAGTCTCTTGGTGTGCAAGGTATCTCCTATCATTCATACATTTCAGACTGCTCACTGTCCAATCTGAAACAATTCTATTTACATGTCACATTTAACAAATGCATTTGCTTATCATAGTTTGAAAGCAGTTAAAAATCTAACACCAGCAACACAACAGCCACAGCTACAACAGCTGCATACTACCCGGAACGTAACTGACACATCAATAAAAGCAAGCTAAAAACAACACGATAACTATTAGATCCCACCATACCTTCCAACTTTCAGATCCCACCATACCTTTCAAAAGTACTGGCATCTCTAACACCTAATCCCCACTTGTCTTTTATTGTTTACTAAGAGTAAAGTTATCATAAGGTAGCCAATGTGCCACCTTCATGAGCTTTAGGGCCATTCCAGACAGGTCCTATACCCCTGCATCTGATCCCAGGTTTTCTGTTTATCCCAGATTATCTGGCAATGGGAACTCACATAATCCAGTTTAATGCAGAAAACCTGGGATCAGTTCACAGAATACAGGGCCTGTCTGGAAGGGCCCTTAGACTACAGCTCCCATAAGTCATAGCTTGCATGGACAATCAATGGGAGAGTCATCTCAAAATTTCATGAAAGGGCCAAATTACTGATCCCAGCTCTAAGGCCCATGAAAAAGACCCTGGAAAACAAAAGTCTTCCAAGATTTTCACTTCGCTGATTAAACAGAACCAACTGTTGCCAACATGACAAGCGATACAAATGCAGCTACATGGTGAAAACAAAAAGTAAAAGGAATTACTGGGTGTAATACTGAATCCTCTGCCACAGGATGCAACCTTTTTCTGCCACTGCAGACAGAAGTAACTACAGGAGTAAATTATTATTTGGGTATCTTACCAGAGCCATGGGAGTGGCCATGTCCACCATGTTGAAACACAAAAATTCCTACAAGATTTACAAGGAAACCAAGGATAGAAACTGGAAGGAGTCTTTCATGATGCACATCTGGAGGCTCAAGCGCACGCTACAAAAATGAAGCAGAAAATTATAGTATAATTCATTTACTACTATTACGAATTCTTGCATTTTCTAAATGTCCCTTTTGAGAAAGACATAATGCCATTCGATATAGAAAACAAAGTCAGTGAATCAGGAAATAATTTTCTGATGGCTTGTAGGAAATAATTTATCTTAATGCAAAAACTCAGGTCATCCCATCAAACTGACAACTGACAGAAAGAAAATTCAAAACAAAGTAAGTATTTCTGCACAGAGCACATAACTGATTGAGAAGTACCGATAACCACTGGCTTAGATTACTTCAAAAGCAGCAAGATCATTAATGAAAGGAAAGTGGCTATTAACCTATTTATGATGGTTTCTAGTTCTAAAGACAATTATCACAGAAACTAGGACAGAAAACAAAACAAAAAAGAATCTGGTACCTTGAATTTGAATCACCAACATCTTGGCTAATGATAAGCAAACCATATAAAACACAATTCCTAACTAAGGATATGTCCTTCTAAGCACCATCAGACTTCCTAGCAAATAAATACCTGTATGTCTCTGCTATACGTCTATCTTTATGAGGTAAAACCATTTATAACTTTTTTCATTACATACCTCAACACCTTCAGAGAAAATGAAGAAAGCTGTGAAGATCAGAAACAGACCATTTACAAAACCAGCTAGCACCTCTGCTCGAACATACCTAGAAAAATCAAGAAAACCATTACTTAACAACATTCTACCTCAGGACAATCCCATAGCCATTTTATGTCCTACTTTTCCCCTCAACAGTGACAAACACAGGATAGCCAGAGGTTGGATAATATTCCCCAAAGCGGAGTTTTTAAAAAAACGTGAGCATTGTGGATTGCTTATTCCTCAAGTGACAGTTCAACCACAAAAACATTTGCAACGTCATGTAGAAGGTATGACACAGGACTGTTTTGAGACCACACTAAAAGCTGATTGCTGGTAAGTTCAAATTTGATCAGTAGGGCTAAGTGCTAGGTAAGTATTACAGAATTCTAGACCAAGACCCCACATCACTTTCATACTTACACAAACATAGCTACTAATAACCTAAGGAACCAATAACTTAATTCCATGGGATCTGTTCTGTGAAATAATGATCTACAGCATGGTTGAGTGGGGTGCTTCAGAATGACATGGCTAGCTTGCTCCCAAGCTGAAGGGTGACACTGGCTGCAGTGTGAGAAGCAGCCTCCTCTTCGCACGATGATTCCAGGAGAGGAGGGAGCTGGCCATGTCATTCTGAAGTGCCCCACTCAACTGCACCACATTCCTCAGTCACACAAAGCTGCTCCCTAAAATTTAAGGCAAGATTCAGAGGACTTTTATGATTGTGGCCATAGTGCCACGATCATGTATATGAAGCATAAGTGAAGAAGAACCAATAACAAATCTGTAATTCTTGGTTATGAATCCATAACTGTAATGCCGAATGTCAACCTCAGTCTAATGTGTATATGTGTATGTACTGTAACTAAGGCATTGGCATAGGCTTGTCATTTATTGAAGGAGTATAGCAGCAAGTAGACCTATTTCAAAAGCGCCAGGTAATGTACACCTCTCATCTGAAAATGACGGAATGTGCAAGTTCTCGAGGATTTTTTCGTTTTTTAAACAATTGTGTACGGGGCCTCAATGCTGTTTCTTACTTGCTTGCTTGCTTGCACTTTGTTAAACTCAGAGAGTAGAACTAGCTAGGGGCATGCCATCTTATGGAACAGGTGTCATTCCTAGGCAGGAAATGGAATGTACCTCTTATTTCCTGCCTCTTATTTCTTATTTCACACATGGGCAGATTTTCCAGTTTCACACCAGGGCTGAAGTGTGTTTACTTTTTAATGACTAAGTGGAACACACAAGGGGAAAATCCACTCCTCATTTACATGTTCTATTACTTGAAAATCCTCTCCTAGCAGAATCACTAGAAGTGGAATACAAATAAAGGATAGGCAAGGTGGTGTTCCCTTCAATTCTGCACACTCTCCTTTTAATGACAAAAGCAGAACCTCATCCATGTTTATTTTAAAGCCAAACTGAAGAGGGCATATTCAGCACATATGAGAACTTCTGCAACTTGCAACTTGCCAAGCAGAAACATCAAAGGAAACTGGCAACGGGTTTGATCAATTCTGGCTGAAGAGCCATTCCTCCCTTTCACAGATATGAACTCACAAAGCTGAACCAAAGAAGTCATCTGCCAACTGACATTAAAGCAAGGGTGGGCAACTGCATAGAGGCCAATTTCCACCCTGAACTTCTGGAGGACTACCCCTCTGAGATACAGAGAACCAAAAGTGATGTCATAACACCTCAGGTCATTTCTACCCAAAGCAAACATCATGTATTTAAGATTTTCGGGAGGAAATTTTCTGGTATTTAGAACCATCTGGGGGAGAAAAAAATCCCAAGAGTCAGATTTCATTTCCATGTCACAGCCTGGTCCACTGGCCCCTCCCTTATTAGCCACACACTACAAAACACATAGAACACTTTGCTACAGAGAAATAGCTTCAGATTTTTTTTAAAAAAATCTCTTGAGCAAAGTATTTATTTACTCAATTACAACAGCTTTCGCAGAAGAAAGTCAACATCACAGTAAAAGAAGAACGTGTGTGCTATCTAAACCGAGTTACCCTGCTATACATATGTGAAATTGGAGAGGGCCTTCATTTTTAATTATTACACTCTTATAAAAAGGTCAATTGCTATGCACAAACATTACCTCTGAACAAATAAATTCTCTTACATACAATTAAATTTTCTTGTAGCAAACACTCATACTCAGTCATACTTCGTATCTGTTCCTACAATATATAAGCAGTACTTTTGTTGTTGACTTTACACAGTTAACAATAAAGGGTCCAGGGGTAGCTTTCAAATTATTGTATTTGATACAAATGTTGATCATTACAAGTCACTAGCATATTAAAAAGAAACAACAAAATGTAGACTTGCTCTCTTCAACAAATTAAACTGCAGTTGTTATGATACCGGAAGTACTCAAGTGGCCCTTCTATATAAGAGCTGGGCACTTCAATGTGGCTTTACTCTATTTCATTAACTCATTTTAGCAAAATTATTAACTGCAAAGCTTTTTTGACAGCACACTGTAATAAAATTGCACAAACTCTCATTCATAATCAAAAGATATGAGACAACAAATAAAAAATCTATTTCACCTACTAAAAATGCTTACCCATAGGAAAAAGCATCATTTGATCTCCACTTTGAAATGACAGATGCTGCCAGTCCAGCTAACAGAGCTGTACAGTCAAAAAACATGTGAAATGAATCTGATATTAAACCTAAACTGGAAAAAGAAAAAAGAAAAATATTTTAGGCACAGAACGTGTCGGAAAACACAGTACATAATTAAAACATTAAATCTCATTTGCAGTAATGGCAATATTGCTTTACTGATTCTCTACTACTTTTATTTTCAAAATTCCTTCTGGGAGCACATATATAAGTAATAATAAATGTGTAAAGATCTACCCAGGGTCTAACTCATACGAGAACTTTAGTCTGCTCAAGTAATTTAGAGACAAGTCTGCTTATAGACTACACACATTAAACATAGGACTTTTTCAGAGTTGGAGATATTAGAGCTAAATTATGACAACGTCCCTGATTTGAAAGAGTTCACCTGTATCAGAAACAGCATTCCCATCTGCCGATCTTACCAATTGTTTAAAATTGAATACATCTTGTAGTCATGACACCCAACACACCAGGAATAACATTTTTATTATAAATACTATGAATATTATATTTTTATTTATAAGTATTATAATTTTTTATCTACTGGAGAAGCAACTAAGAACGCACACTGAATTCATAGAAGAAAAACTACAATAATGAAAACCTTTACATAATAGTTATCCAGAGCACAAGGACTATGAAACCAAAAGCTTTGGAATTATGTGTGCATGCTTTCTGATACAAAACACAGGAAAAGGTATGGTGAAATGTTTCAAAGTATGAACCAATACGTACACAAATATAGGATAGTACACAGATCAAAGCATGAATAGGGTCCAAATAATTTCCTCCAGGTGTCATGAGGACATAGTGTTACTATGAAACCTTGTTTAGTAGTATCATGGCGTAGAAGAAGACAACATAAGAAAAGATCCAGAGAAATCTACAAAATGCCCACTATGTAGTAGATATAGGATGAATGAAGCTAACTGGCCCTCCACATTTGAGGTTTTGACTTTTGCAGATTTGATTATTCATGGATTTGATTAAAATGTTTTCTCTTTGAATCTCTAGGGCCCCATCCACACTGCCATATAACATGGCCTGAAACTGCATTATATAATTACAGGAATGTAGATGTACAATTCTATGCTCAGTTTTCAGTACAAGTTAACCACAGACTCATGCTGGAGGGGAAGAAATCCCTAGAGAGGTATTCTGATAGATAAAAAAAACCAATTAAAATGTTGTTGTTGAGATGTAGAAAAGAAACACAACACAAATAGTACTATTTATTTGTGGTTTCTCGCTTTCACAGGTGTCGTGTGCCCCTAACCCTAGCGAATGTGGAGGACTGAAGCAAATTAGTAGCAAATAAACTATTAGACTGTCATCAAACACATCTCCACTGACCCTATCCACTAAGACTGCATCTACATTGTAGAAATAATGCAGGCTGACACTACTTTACTACCATTATTCAATGCTATGGCATCTTGAGAGTTCGAGTTCCGCAAGATCCTTAGGAGTTCTCTGCCAAACATAGGAAATGCCTCCCCAAATTGCAACTACCGTAATTCCATACCAATGATTCATGAGAAACAAAGTAGATTCAAACTGCATTAATTCTACACTGTAGATCAGTGGTTCCCAACCTTTGGTCCTCCAGGTGTTTAGGGCTTCAGCTCTCACAATTTCTAACAGCTGGTAAATGGAGGACCAAAGATTGGGAACAATTGCTGTAGATGAACCTTAAGTGTATGGCATACATACAGACGATTCTTACATGCAGGAATTATCTCATGTTTGATAATTTGCTAACTAAGCCAGAAATCTTATTGCCAGCATCTAGGCTCGCTCTTCTTAAGGCAAATCATCCAATGGCTTTTCCCAAAGAAGGGTCAGTGCAGGGTATGTCAAACCAAGCTGTGTGGCTAAAAACCACTCAAATCACCATCTGTTTGGGGAGAAAGGCTGCTTGGGTGCTTCTACTTGAAGGCAGTGCAGGCCATAGTACTTTAAGAATTATTTTTCTGTGGGAAAAGCAGCTGAAGCATTTGACACCCACACTCCAACAAGGCATTCTTACTTCAAATGAGAAATGATCAGAAGGATGTTACTGTTGTGTCGGAATGCTAGGAGACTGATTTGGCCCTGTGAAGTCAAGGCTCTCCAAGAATCCAGCTAGCAAATGCAGCTGCTCAACAAACTCATAGCTTTGGGGATGGTAAAGTGGCAGGAATTTCCAAAGAACTGCCAGCACAATCTCCATAAACTTCAGCACATTCAATGACTGGAAGAATGCAGTCCATGCAGTAACACTCACCAGAAGCTGGCATTCCATTATGACAAGAACTACTGAAGCATAGGTAATTCTTATTCAAGGTTCAGGCACATCACAGAAAGAGACTTAGATACCCAGCATTAATTCACAATGCAAGAAAAACCCAACTGGATCAGACCAAAGGCCTTATCTATTGTACTTCCCACAATGATGGCCCAAAAGTCAATGAGAAGCACACAGGAAAGATATGAAAGCAATGGCACTTCCCACTCACGTTTCTCAGCAACTGGTATTCAAGTAAAGATTATATGTAGTTATCATATCTACAGCCACTGACAGCTTTTCTTTCATGAATTTATCAAATCACAATTTAAAGTTATCCTACCTGGTAACCAGAATTACACTTTATATAACCTAATTTTGTGATTTACGTATATACTGTATAAAGCACATCCTTTTATCTCTCCAGAGGGAAATTTAACTTCAATGGATGACTCTACCGTATTACGAATATTCACACTGAAGACAGGTAAAAATTCATTTATATCAGTGGTTCTCAACTAGGGTTCCCAGGTGTTTTGGCCTACAACTCCCAGAAATCCCAGCCAGTTTACCAGCTGTTAGGATTTCTGGGATTTGAAGGCCAAAACATCTGGGAATCCACAGGTTGAGAACCACTGACTTTTATCATGATGTTTTCCCCGACAACTAACAAGCAAGATTTTCTCTCCAGTTGTGATAAGGCTTTCATAAATGATACATTGTCAAATTCTTGTTTAGTTTTTCCATACTGCTCTTTATTTTCCATGTACACTAAAAGCTGCCATGTTTCCCAAGCATTTGTACTTTTATAATCCTTTGATAATAACAACTTCTGCAAAAACTCTACCTAATAAATTCCACCTTAGAGCAATAAATGCTTTTGTTGCATTGCCTTTGTGAAAGACGCCAAACGAAGAAAAGGGTGAGTAGTCATTCCTAATTATATGTGAGCATATACCTTCTCTAAAGGCAGCCAGATAAATAAATATGGAATGAACCAGATTCAGACCCTATATACCCAAGAAAGGTGGATTGGGAAAGAAATCCTTGTGCATTTTATATTAAAACAAATTTGCCAGGATTTCTCTTGAAGGGCTACTGTCCTTGTCAGTTTTTGTTCCAAACTGAAGATGGAATAAGAGAGTACAGCCTCCAAAAACGTAGTGCCAACGTATGGTTTCCACATTAATATACAAATGCCAACCACAACTGAGAATATTGTTTCATATTTTCAGTTGTAAATTATATGTGTGCATACCTTGGCAGCCACCTCTCCACCAAAGTCAACATCGACACCGAAATACAACACCGCCTGAGCTCTGCGAGCGCAGCATTTTTCTGAATGAAGCAGAGAGTGTTTGAGGACTGGGACATCCATAGGGATACCAAGGTACTTGTTTATAGAGCTATTGTTCTCCCAACCCTGCTATATGCCTGTGAGATGTGGACTGTCTACAGACGTCACATGCAACTCCTGGAACGGTTCCATCAGCACTGCCTCCAGAAAATCCTGCAAATCTCTTGGGAGGACAGGCAAACAAACGTCAGTGTGCTGGAAGAAGCAAAGAGCACCAGCATTGAAGGGATGGTCCTCCGCCATCAACTCCGCTGGACCGGCCATGTAGTCTGGATGCCCGACCACCGTCTCCCAAAGCAGTTGCTCTACTCCGAACTCAAGAACAGAAAACGTAATGTTGGTGGACAGGAAAAGAGATTTAAAGATGGGCGCAAAGCCAACCTTAAAAACTCTGGCATAGACACTGAGAACTGGGAAGCCTTGGCCCTTGACCGCTCCAGCTGGAGGTCAGCTGTGACCAGCACTGCTGCAGAATTTGAAGAGGCACAAATGGAGGGCAAAAGGGAGAAGAGTGCCAAGGGGAAGGCGCGTCAAGCCAACCCCGACCAAATCCGCCTCCCACCTGGAAACCAATGCCCTCACTGCGGAAGAAGATGCAGAGCAAGAATAGAGCTCCACAGCCACATACGGACCCACAAGAATACTGGAAGACAACCCTCCTCGGAAAATGAGGGATCGCCTAAGCTGATATGTGTGTGTGTGTGTGTGTGTGTGTGTGTGTGTATGTGTGTATATATATATATAAACACACACACCTGTATAGCCAATGAAATCCATTTCAGTAAATTTACAACTGCATCCTGAGTCATACAACCATAAACGTTTTCAGGAGAAGCAGCATACTCAGAAAAATTAAGTCATATACTGACTTTTGCCTTAAGCAAGTCCCAGTCTAGCATATACAAGCACCGAAGAGAGAGATGGGAAAGTAAGTGGATGCCCATGTACAAGTTGTGCCACCAACCTATGAGCAATACTCCCAAACAGAAGTGAATTTCTAGTTTTATATAGTAATAGTAAACTATAAAAAAAAAATAGTTTACCATTGGTGAAGTAATGGTAAACTCTAAAAATCAATTATCATTTTATTGTTTTGAAATATTTTCATTTGTGTTTTAATCTTACTTCTATGACTGGATCTACACTACTAAATAATGCAGCTTGAACTGCATTATAGGATCAGTGTAGGCTCACATAATGCAGTTCTGCATTATATGGGTCTACGCAGACCATATACTGCAGTACAAACTGTAGTATTTGGCCGTATAGATCCAACCACAGCGTTTTAATCTATGTGTTTTAAAATGGTTTGATTCCTTTATCTACTTTTTTAAATTATGTTGTAACACGCCGGGAAGAGGCAAGTAAGAAATTTTGATTATGATGATTATTTTCCTGAGCCAAGTTAAGCTTTCCTTACTGCGATCCTATACACAGTGAATACATTTTATCTGACCTTCCAATATTTATAAACTATACTAATTATAGCAATAAATTATAATTCCTGAAGAGTACTAAAGGTACCAGAACTTGTCTACGGAAGTTAGGTAAATAGATAACACTATGTAACTAAATATGAACATTTTCAGTTTCCTGTTAAATTGTGTGGTACGTACATTGAAAGTAGTTGTTATACTCCAGAAACTTTGTTTTTGTGGCTGCCACAAACTACATTGAATTGGTTGAGACTCTATGAGATATTCATTCAAAAACTATAGCAAAATGTGCTGCAGGGTGTCCCATAAAAACAAAGTTTTTGCAGTTTAATAATTTTTCCCATGTTTTTATGACAGAACCGATTAGGAAATGACATTTATAACTCAGGAACAACAACTGTGTTACAAAATGTAATGTTTTTAATATAAAGTACTTTGTTTATATCTTGTCCTTTTCCCAGCACAAGGCACTCCATATATGTAAAACTGACCAACTTCCTCAAATACAGACTTCCTCCATCTCTGTCAAAATTTTTATTTATTTCCCTTTCTGGGGTTTATATAATCTACTCTTAAGAATATGGACTTACAAGATTAATCTCTAAATAAATATTTTTTTAAAATCCTGCATTCATCCAACAATTGCTCCAGGAAGGATTAAACAATCCTTTTCTCTCAACTCTCAAGGCCAGGACTCTCCCGGGCTTCCTCCTCAGAACAAGCAAATCAATAAGAGACGTGGCAACACCAGCGGAGCTGAACTTGGGAGTTCAGCAGGGAAAGCGCCGCCTCTTTACTCTCCTCCCTCCCCTTCCCTTCCTTCCTCCCCAGTACCTGTTGCTCCAGATGCCATACAGCAGCTCAACGAAAGCAAAGGAGAGGTTGAGGCAAAGGAAGAAGAAGAGGTTTCGGGACGTCTTGTCCGATAGGATTGACCTGGAGCAGGAAGAGAGAAGAAAGATCAAAAAAGGAAGAGGTGGGAGAGAAACTGGGAACATCAAGCAAGGATGGTTTTTCTCCCCATGGCAAAGAAAAGCCTCCAGGAGAACATGATGGAAAGAAGCTAATTGCATCCAGCTCTGCTCTTCCAACCATTTACACCAAGTCCCTAAATTCAGTCATACACACTTGCAGACAACAGCCACCACACACTATCATGTATGTCTGAAATATGTATGTGAGAGCATATGCTTGCACATAGATGCTCACAGGACCTCTTTTGCCAGCTCTGAAATTTAATGTCATGTAACAACTGCCACACAATATTGTGTCTCTAAGAGAGAGGTTTTGTGTATGAATGTGTGAGAGAGAAAATGTGTATGTGTGTGTAACCACACAGACACACAAGACCACTTCAGCTCTGGAATTAAACCACATATCCCACATATAGCAATAGCTATCATATCCCATCATGTGTATAAATACATGCACGTGTATATAAAGTTGCGTGAGACAGTGTGTTTGCACATACACAGATGCTCACAGGATCTCTTTCTCCAACTTTGAAATGTAACCACACAACCCATGTCAGGCAACAGCTATCATACACTACAGAGCATGTTGGAAATAATGCAGTGAGAAATAAACGCAGTTTGCCACCACTTTAATCGCCATGGCTCTATGCTATGGAATCGTGGGAGTTGCAATTTCACAAGATCCACAGCATTCATAGAATCATAGAACTGGAAGAGACCTCATGGGCCATCCAGTCCAACCCCCTGCCAAGAAGCAGGAATATTGCATTTAAAGCACCCCTGACATATGGCCATCTAGCCTGTTTAAAAACCTCCAAAGAAGGACCCTCCACCACACTCCGGGGCAGAGAGTTCCACTGCGAACGGCTCTCACAGTTAGGAAGTTCTTCCTCATGTTCAGATGGAATCTCCTTTCTATGGCAAAAGACTGCTTGTGAAACACCAAATTACAACTCCCATGATTCCACAGCATTGATCCATAATGGTTAAAAATGGTGTCCAACTGCATTAATTTTGCACTTCTGCACTTTCAGAGACAAAATGTGTGTGTGAATACATATGAAAGAGAGTATGCATGGGTTGCTGTAAGTTTTCTGGGCTGTATGGCAATGTTCCAGGAGCATTATCTCCTGATGTTTCACCCACATCTATGGCAGGCATCCTCAGAGGTTGTGAAGTCTGTTGGAAACTAGTCAAGTGGGGTTTATATAACTCTGGAATGTCCAGGGTGGGAGAAAGAACTCTTGTCTGTTTGAGGCAAATGTGAATGTTGCAAATGGCCAGTTTGATTAGCACTGAATAGCCTTGCAGCTTCAAAGCCTGGTTGCATCCTGCCGGGGGAGGATCCTTTGTTGGCAGGCCCTGATTGTTTCCAGTCTGGAATTCCCCTGTTTTCTGAGTGTTGTTTTTTTATCGACAGTACTGATTTTAGAGTTTTTTTAAAATACAGGTAGCGATATGTTGTTCATTTTGCTGAAAGTGACATTGCCTTAACTTATTGGAGAGCCACATATTTGTATACAGATTTTAACTGCCTTTTGTGTTATTTATGAGGCCCATTAGTTTTATTTTTTAGTCAAGGTTGTTTTGCTTATTTTAAAAAAATAAAGTATTATTATTATTATTATTATTATTCATTTTCATGGTTTCCTCCTTTCTGTTTAAATTGTCCATGAGCTTGAGGATTTCAATGGCTCCTCTACATAGTCTAACATGGTAGTTGTCAGAGTGGTCCGACATTTCTGTATTCTCAAATAACAGGTGCAGGCAAAACATCAGGAGAGAATGCTTCTGGAATACGGCCATACACACAGCAATCCAGTGATTCCGGCCACGAAAGCCTTTGATAATACAGGATATGCATGTACACACAGCTCTTTTTCCAGCTCTGGAATGCAATGACAACTCTTCATGTCAGTTGTGTGTGTCTGAAAAAGTGTGTGTATGAATGTGAGAGAAAGTGAGTGTGTGTGCATAGGCATTATAGGCGTATACCTCCAGCTCTGAAACCTAAACTCACACATCCCACCTCAGGCAACAGCTGTCACACCTCATTGTGTGTCTAGAATCATATAATAGAAAAGAGTGTGTGTGTGAATGTGTGTGTGGGGATGCACATGGATGCCCCCTTTCTCCAGCTCTGAGGCAGGCCCAACAAAGGAGGGACAGCCCAGCCTCGCCTCGCCTCTTCCCTGAGGTGGCCTCTCTGGGCTCGGGCCTCCAGCCCCTTCCTCCGCAGCCCCCTCACCTGAACCACCCGGAGACCTTGCGGAGCAGGTTGAGCCGGGGCGGCTTGTACTCATCGTCCTTGATGGATAAAGGCAGCATCTTCGCCTCCCTCGGAGGGAAAGGCCGGGCCTGGCGTGAGAGTGATGAGGGGAAGAAGGGACGGGAGCGTCTGTCCGGCAGCCCCTCGCAGCCCCTTCTCGGCCAGGAAGCCGCCCTCGCTCGCTCGCTCGCTCGCTCGCGCGCGCCCAGGAGCCGGCCCTCTCCGCCAGCAGCCACTTCCGGCAAAAGCGGACCCAGGCCAGGCTCAGTGCGCCTGCGCGGCGGGCCCAGTGACGTCACGAGGGGAGAAAAGGAAGCGGGAGCCGGGTGGCATTGAGTTGCTGGGGAAGCGGCTGGCATTGGGAGAGGAAGCGGATTTCTTCACGGCTCTTTCTCTCCTTCCTCTTTTCCCTCCCTCCGTTTCCTTCATCCACCTTCTCCCCCTTTTCTTTCTTTCTCCCCTTGTCCTCATAAACCTTCTGCTTCTTTCTTTCTCTTCCTCCCTCCCCTCCCTCCCTCCCTTCGCCTCTTTCTTTCTCTACTGTCTTTCTTGACCTCCTTCCCCTTATACCCTTTCCCTTCCTTCCTTTCACTTATTTTCCCTTTCTTTCCCTCATACACCCTCCTCTTTCTTTCCTTTTTCTTTCTCTTTACTTTCTTCTCATACCTTTCCCTTTTTCTTCCTTCCTCTCTTTGCCTTATTTTCCCTTTCTTTCCCTCATACACTCTTCTCTTTCTTTTTCTCCTTCCTTCTTTCTCTTTCTGTACTTCCTTCCCCTCATACCTTTCCCGCTTTTTCTTTCTCTTCCTTCCTTCCATTCTTTCCCTTTTCCGCTTCCTTTCCCTCATACACTCTCTTCTTTCCTTTCCATTTCTTTCTCTTTCCTTCACCGTTTTTAACTTCCCTACCCTCATACCTTTTTCCTTTTCTTTCTCTTCCTTCCTCTTTCCCTTATTTTTCCCTTTCTTTCCATCATACAACCTCCTCTGTCTTTCCCTTCCTTCCTTTCCCTATTTTTTCTTTCGTTCCCTCACACACTCGCCTCATTCTTTTTCTTTCCCCCTTCCCTCGCCCCTTCTTTCTCTTCATTCATTTTTACCTCCTTCTCCTCATACCTTTACTCTTTTGATCCCCTTCCTTTGCCTTCCTGTCTTTCCTTTCTTTTCCCCTTTCTTTTCCTCATATGCCCTCCTCTTGCTTGCTTGCTTGCTTTCTCTTCCTTTTCTTTTTCCTTCTTTTGCTTTCTTTCTTTCCTTCCCCTCATATCTTTTCCCATTCCTTCCTTTCCTCCTTTTTTCTTTTTCCCCTCTTCCTTTCCTTCTCCTTTCCCTTTCTTTTTTTCTTCTTCTCCTAATACACATAGCAGGAGCCAAGCTGCTTCACCCCCTTTCTTTCTTTCTTTCTTTCCTTTATTTTTCTTCCTTTCCTCCCTTATTTTGCCCCTTCTTTCTCTTATTTCTTTCTTTACCTCCTTCTCCTCATACCTTTTCCCCTTTCTATTCCCTTCCTTCTTTCCTTTGCTCTTCCTGTCTTTTCTTTATTTCCCCCTGTATTTCCCTCATACACCCTCTTTCTTCATCTTCCTTTCTTTTTTCTTCTCTTTCTTTACATCCTTCGCCTCATACCTTTTCCTCATTGGGTTGTTGTAGATTTTTTCGGGCTATATGGCCATGGTCCTTTGCTCATTCCTTCCTTTCCTTTTTCTTCCCCTCTTCCGCTCCCAGTTCAGTATGTAGAAAACTGTGAAAACTGATCTAGAGGAGAGTTGACTCACATGCCACACTTTTTGGCAAGGTTCACTGTTTTTAAAACTTAGTTGCTGGTTATGATGACAAATGGATCCTCAAAAGCATTAGATGGATCAAGTTGAACTGCATTATGTTTGTCTACGTTGAGCATATAATGCAGTTCTAAACTGTATTGTATAGCAATGTAGATCCAGCCTTAGAGACTAGGTTTCCTAAATGAAAAAGACAAATTCCCCTGAATACCATCTTGCTTTGCAATATACATCCATGGAGGAATTCAAGGTGCATTGTTGGGCATGCTTTGACTTTGTGTGGCCACAATGCAAGAATGGCCAGTTCTGAGAACTGCAGTTTAAAAACAGTACTGACAAACAAGGCACTATTGAAATTGTAACAACAAAGGTAGCAAGAAGCTTGGAAGCCAAATGCTATTTAAAGTTTTTGGTATTTAATATAATGGAAACAGATTAATTACCCTAGACCACCTCCTGGACATTGTACCTGCTCCATCTTTATAAACAAACACATCCCTAAGTACAACTAACTCTAGGACATTGTTCATTCATGCTTACATGTCTATCCATTTCCAGAGGCAATCATGTAACAAGCATCTATACATGGACAAAAGTGATATGTAATAAGTGTGGAAGGACAGGAGACAGAGAAGATGGCATTAGTTCAACAGTGGCTTTGAGCAAGAGTGAATGGTGTCCAAGGACTAGGCAACCCAATTGATTCTCCATAGGATCTTGGAAGACCACACATTCCAGTTGTGCTGTACTGTGGTCTCTGCCCCAAAACAAAAAGGTTTATTTAAAAAAAAACAAATCTGGTTTGCTCAAATGGCTTGCCAACCATACCAGGGAACATGGGGGCAACCTTATCCCACCATTGAGCAGAAGTCACATAATACCCAACAACATTATATTGCAGAGGTGGAAGTCCCCGACTATACCACATGAGGGAGAAAGGAGCTTTCAACATAGAAGAACTGAGTAAAAAAAATATTGAAATGCTGTATATTCTCCACATTCTTGGAGCTGTTTGTGGGTTAACCTAAATCAGTTAAGCACTTGATCATTTCAATATAAAAGGTTGAGAAAGCTAGATAGGTTTAGCATAAAGAAGAGACAATTAGGAGGATATTTGATCATCTTCGAATATTAAGAATATACTTGTTTTCTTTCAGAGGGATTAATAAAGAACGGAATGAAGTTACAGGAAAAATCATTTTGTTCAATCTTCCTCAGCCTAACATTTTCCAGATTTGTTGGACTATAAATCCCATCCCACTATGATGTCTAGGATGAGGGGGAATTGTTGCCTAACAGAACTGGGAAGTTAGGGAAGCTTGATTTACATTAAACCATGGAAAGAATGACCTAGCAGTATGAATTAAGCCTTGTTTTTCTTGAGAGATGAAACTTCATACAGAAATATGTGCACATCCAGATGACTAACTAGTTGCTTGTTCTAGACAAATCCATGATAGAAACTTCTGGGATGATAGAAAACAGATTTCTGGTAATCTGATGTATAACTCTGCTCCACCTAACTTTACCAACTGTTAGGCTTTCTGGGAGATGAAGGCTAAAAACATCTGGGGACCCCTGGTTGAGAACCACTGCATTAGGCGATCCCTCGTTGTCCGAGTAGGATAATCTTCCAGGATCATTGCACTGGCGGTGGGTCCGTAGGTGACTGTGGAGCCCTATTCTTGATCTGCATCTTGATGGCATTCATTGACCTTGCAAAGGCATTCGACACAGTGAATCGCAGCACTCTCTGGACCATCCTCCAAAAAATCGGGTGCCCTAACAAATTTGTGAACATCCTGCGGCTCCTCCATGATGACATGATGGCAACAGTTTTGGACAGCAATGGCTCCCAAAGTGACCCATTTAAGGTGGAATCCGGTGTCAAACAGGGATGTGTTATTGCCCCAACTTTATTCTCCATCTTCATCGCTATGATACTTCACCTTGTTGACAGGAAGCTTCCCACCGGAGTGGAAATCATCTGTCGGACAGATGGCAAGCTATTCAACTTCAGCAGACTGAAAGCCAAAACCAAGGTTACAAAAACATATGTTATAGAACTCCAGTATGCTGATGACAACGTCGTCTGTGTGCATTCAGAAGAAGATCTACAAGCCACTCTAAACACCTTTGCAGAAGCATATGAGAAGTTTGGCCTGTCATTGAACATTGAAAAAAACCAAGGTGCTGTTCCAGCAGACACCAGCCAACCCCTCTCCACTGCCAGCGATACAGCTTAATGGTGTAACATTCAAAAATGTTGATCATTTCCGCTACCTTGGCAGCCACCTCTCCACCAAAGTCAACATCGACACCGAAATACAACACTGCCTGAGCTCTGCGAATGCAGCATTTTTCCGAATGAAGCAGAAAGTGTTTGAGGACCGGGATATCCGTAGGGATACCAAGGTGCTTGTTTATAGAGCTATTGTCCTCCCAACTCTGCCTGTGAGACGTGGACTGTGTACAGACGTCACATGCAACTCCTGGAACGATTTCATCAGCGCTGCCTCCGGAAAATCCTGCAAATCGCTTGGGAAGGCAGGCGGACAAATGTCAGCATGCTGGAAGAAGCAAAGACCACCAGCATTGAAGTGATGGTCCTCCGCCACCAACTCCACTGGACCGGCCACGTTGTCTAGATGCCCGACCACTGTCTCCCAAAGCAGTTGCTCTCCTCTGAACTCAAGAACGGAAAACAGAATGGGCCTTTTGCTTCCATTCTGGGCAGGAAAAGAGATTTAAAGATGGGCTCAAAGCCAACCTTAAAAACTCTGGCATAGACACAGAGAACTGGGAAGCCCTGGCCCTTGACTGCTCCAGCTGGAGGTCAGCTGTGACCAGCTGCAGAATTTGAAGAGGCAGGAATGGAGGGTGAAAGGGAGAAGCCTGCCAAGAGGATGGCACATCAAACCAACCCCAACCGAAACCGCCTTCCACCTGGAAACCAATGCCCTCACTGCGGAAGAAGATGCAGAGCAAGAATAGGGCTCCACAGCCACATACGGACCCTCAAGAATATTGGAAGACAATCCTCCTCGGAAAACGAGGGACCGCCTAAGAAGAAGAAGATTGGGGCAATAACACATCCTCTTTTAAACAGAGGGTGGATGGCCATCTGTCGGAGGTGCTTTGAATGCAATTTTCTTGCTTCTTAGCAGGGGGTTGGACTGAGGTCTCTTCCAACTCTATGATTCTGTGCCACTTTAAATGCCATGGCTCAATGCTGTGCAGTCCTTGGCTTTGTAGTCTGGTGGTGCATTGGCACTCTTTGGCAGAGAAGGCTAAAGATCTTGTGAAACTGCAACTCCAAGGATTTCCTAACACTAAGGAGCCAACTGGTAGTGTAGATAGTAGTGTAGAGGGAAGGCAGCAATGCTGGGGGGGTGGGGGTCGGTGGGAGGAGCGCCCGCCTTTCCCACAGGAAGCAAAAGGCCAGCCAAAGGGAAGGGATTGCCGGCTTTGGCTCAGCCCCTCTTGCGCGCCTCTCGCGTTGCGATGGATGTTTTTCAATTGCAGGGGAAGGAGCACTTCAAGCGGAGCCTGGGAAGGCGGCCTGCCTCCTCCTGCCTTTGCTGACCCGCTGGGGCGGAGGATGTGATTGGCATCGCAGGCAGGTAGGTCAGGACAGCAGAGCCCTGCACAGCCCTGGGAGAAGCAAGGCAGGGGAGAAAGAAAGACCCCCCCCCACTTGCATGTAGGCGCCATTCAATCCATCCTGCAGGTATAGGAAAGATCTCTGCTAATGCTGCAGAGGAGCTTTTGTTTTTGACCTTTCCTGGTCGTTTTCCTTATTGCAGTTTTGTTTATCTTATTTCATTGATTATTTCTGCATAAATGCGTGCATGTCTGAAATGAAAAAGGGAATATTAACGCTACAGGAGGTTTCATAAGCCAAGATGATGGCCTGCATATAGGGAGCATCTACACTGCCACATAATCCTACTTTGAACTGGATTATAGGGCAGTGTAGGCTCATTATTATTATTATTATTGACTCAAAAACACAGTATGTCACAGCAAACGAGATCTATATGCTGGATTTCGTATCACAAAATCACAAGTCGAACACTTCCCAAGCGTCTAGGACTGTGATATATTTTTGAATGATGTGTGCAGATCCAAGTTAGGTGGCCTGTTGCAGTTGACAGATCATGATTTTGTCAATGTTTATTGTTTCCAAATGCCAGCTGAGCTCTTTTGGCACAGCACCTAGTAGTTGTTGTTATTATTGTTGTTATTATTATTATTATCTAATCCAGTTCAAAGCAGATCATCTGGATGGAGAAACTGGATTATAGGGTAGTGTAGATCCAGAAAGGGTCTGATGCTATATAGGAGTGGACAAACCTTAGGATTCACGCTCTCAGGGACAAGCCATTTATCAAACTCCATTCTATATGAAAAACCAAATGATATATTGTCCTGTCCAAGTCTGGAAATGACTCTCAGGCCCCTTCTACATCTGGTTTGAATTGGATTGTATTGTCCTCACTGCCAAGTAATCCAGTTCAAAGCAACCACCATATCACACTACAGAAATTTAAAAGCAGGTAGACGATTTCAACAGAAAGGAGAAAATCATGAAAATGAACAAAATCTGGCTTCCAGTATTTAAAAAAAACTCTAAAATCAGGACAGTAAATAAAGAACAACACTAAAAAAACACGGAAAACAATCAGGTCCAGCTAACACCTCCCAACAAAGGATTGCCCCAGGCAGAAAGCAGCCACACTATGACGCTGCAAGGCCATCCAATGCTAATCAAGGTGGCCAGTTTCAACATTCATACTTGCCTCAAACAGACAAGAGTTCTTTTTCCCACCCTGGATACTCCACAGATATATAAACCCCACTAGTCTAGTTTCCAACAGACCTCACAACCTATGAGGATGCCTGCCATAGATGTGGGTGAAACATCAGGAGAGAATGCTTCTGGAACATGGCCATACAGCCCAGAAAACTCACAGCAATCCAGAAAATCTGGATTTTATATGGCAGGGTAGATGGGGCCTTCAGGTACCTCTACACTGGAGAATACATGCTGTTTGGCACCACTATAATCACCACGGGTCAAGGCAATGGTATCACAAGGGCTGTAGTTTTATGAGGCCTTTTGCCTCCTCTGTCAAAGAGTCTTGGTGCCTCACCAAACTACAGCTCCCAGGATTCCATAGTGTTGAGCTATGGCAGTTAAAGTGGTGACCAACAGTGTAGATGCAGCCCTGGAGGTCAGATTGCTACAGGAGTAGGGCTGGATTGCGCCGTGCAGATCTTAAAGGGATTAGGCTTGCTTGCAAACTGTGATAAATCTGTTTAAAACAATCTTTGTAACATGTTTAGATCTCTATTCTGTACCAATTGGTTTTTAAGGAGGGAAATCTGCTGGTTATTGTTTTGTTTTGAGACCTGCACCTTTTGGCCTCGCTGCTGCTCTACACTTCAATCGCGTTGGTTGATTACTCAGTGCAGAATGTTTTGGATATATAGATAAACATCACTTGAATCAAGATTCTATACAGTCTTATATGGAAATCAGTTCCAAGGATGTGAACAAGAGAGGTTTTCACTGAGGGCAAATCAGAGAAGATGGAAGCAGTTGCTCTTAGATGTATCTATTCAAGGGCCTTCCAGACAGGCCCTATATCCCAGGATCTGATCCTAGGTTTACTGCTTTAATCTCGACTATATGAGTCCGCACAGCCAGATAATCTGGGATAAACAGAAAACCTGGGATCAGATCCTGGGATATAGGGCCTGTCTGGAAGGCCCTTGAATAGATACATCTAAGAGCAACTGTTTCCACCTTCTCTGATTTGCCCAAAAATCAAGGGCAAAAGAAAAACAAAGCCTAAATCCTAGTGTATACTTGTCGACTGAAGGTGACCTCTTCAATTTCATATAGTCATAGAAATACTCAAAGTGGGGTTGCTATGGACTCCTTCTGAAATACAGCCTACAGAAGCAGGTGTTCCTCATCTAAGTATTCTCCAAATCCAGTCCTGCCTGGTTTCCAAGATATAATGAGACTGGGCGTTCAAGACCCAGTTTACATTCTGCCTAACCATGGTGTCTGAAAGCAACTGAAATTCATAATTAACTACCCCTAAAATGAGATTCATTCCACAGCCACTAACAGCCAAGTATGCTTTTTAGCAAAGGTCCCTCCCACACAGCTGAATAAAATCCCACATTATCTGCTTTGAACTGGGATATATGGCAGTGTGGGCTCAGATAATCCAGTTCTAAGCAGATATTGTGGAATAGTCTGCTTTGATGCTCTGGGTTATATGGCTGTGTGGAAGGGCCCAAAGACATTCAATAAAGAACAAACAGCCGAGAAAAATGCATTGAAAGTAGGAAGGGGGGAAAGAGTAATATAACTGTTTTAGGGCCAGCTGTAACTGTACAATTCCACACCTGACTCAGGGCCCTTCCACACAGCTCTATATCCTAGAATATCAAGGCAGGGAATCCCACAATATCTGCTTTAAACTCAATTATCTGAGTCCACGCTGCCATATATTCAAGTTCAGAGCAAATAATGTGGGATTTTAGTCAGTTATGTGGAAGGGGCCTAGTGGGGGGCATCTCTGGGTCCTTCCACGCAGCCCTATATCCCAGAATATCAAGGCAGGAAATCCCACAATATTTGCTTTGAACTGGTTATATGAGTCCACACTCAGATATTGTGGGATTTTCTGCCTTGATATTCTGGGATATAGGGCTGTGTAGAAGGGCCCCCAGAGCATCAAGGCAGAAAATCCCACAATATCTGCTTTGAACTGGGTTATCTGATTCCACATTGCCATATATTCCCGTTCAGAGCAAATAATGTGGAATTTTATTCAGCTATGTCAGGGGTCCTCAACTTTTTAAACAGAGGTCCAGGCCACAATCCTTCAAACTGTTGAAGGGCCGGAATTTTTTTTTTATGAATGAATTCCTATGCATATTGCACATATCTTATTTGTAGTGCAAAAAACTTTAAAACAATACAATAATTAACATGAAAAACAATTTGAACAAATGTAAACATATTAGTATTTCAATGTGAAGTGTGAGCCTGCTTTTGGCTGATGAGATAGGATTGTTGTTGTTGTGTGCTTTCAAGTCGTTTCAGACTTAGGTTGACCCTGAGCGAGGGCCGGGTGAATGACCTTGGAGGGCCTTAGTTTGAGGACCCCTGAGCTATGTGGAAGGGGCCTATTGGAGCATCTATGGGCCCTTCCACACAGCCCTATATCCCAGAATATCAAGATAAAAAATTCCACAATATTCGCTTTAAACTGGGATATCTGAGTCCATATTCAGATAATGTGGGATTTTCTGCCTTGATATTCTGGGATATAGAGCTGTGTGGAAGGGCCCCACATTGTAGAATTAAAGCAGTTTGACACCAATTTGACTGCCATGGCTCAGTGCTGTGGAATCCTGAGAGTTGTAGTTTGGCTGGTTGGGGAGAAAATGTGGTTCCCAAGCATCTCAGGGCCCTTCCAGACAGGCCCTATACCCCAGGATCTGATCCCAGGTTTTTTGCTTTAAACTTGAGTATGAGAGTCTGCACTGCCAGATAATATGGGATAAACAGAAAACCTGCGATCACATCCTGGGATATAGGGCCTGTCTGGAAGGACCCTCAGAGACCTATTTTCTTGCTTTTAGTGGCTAAGAAATACTGCATCCTCGCTTCAAAGATCCATGTTTTTCTTACATTTCTAGGGAAATTAAAATAGCAACCTGAGTAGAGATTGCCACTATAGTTACCACCACCCTGCAGCAATTTCTGGATCTCTGGTGGCAAGACTGGGGAGATTTAAGCTTTTCTATTCCTGCACTTTCAAATTCCAGCCCTTCCACATTGAACTAGATTATCTGACAATGTGGACTCAGATAATCCAGTTCAAAGCAGATAATGTGGGATTTTCTGCCTTGATATGGCTGTGTGGAAAGGCCCTAAATCCCAGGGAATCAGAGCATTAACAGTACTGCATACACTTTAGCAAGCTTCTTTGATAAATGTGTTAGCTATGAGCTCCTCTTTTACATAATTTTATAGTGAGATTGTGAAAATATGTAACTGTGAATGACTTTCTTTTCCAGCAGAGAAAAAAAAATCAATTAAACGTACAGTTCCTTGGCACACTAACAATCAACCTTCCAGTGAAGGAATGAGGTGAGTTCTTATGCAAAATGTATTCAGTTGCTGAAATATTTTGCATACATGTTTTTTGAATGACTGCCTATGTCTCTAATGTCTAAATAGGTGTTGATTGAAACATTTAAGTACCAGTTGAGTAACCTTTTTCCAGAACTGTTTTGGATTTCAGATTTTCTGGATTTTGGTATATACGTACATAGTAAAATATATTACTCAAGTCTATATGAAATTAATTTATGTTTCATAAACCCTTTCTGCACATAACCTGAAGGTAATTTTATATGCAACATTTTTAATAATATTGTTTATGAAACAAAGTTTGTATACAGTGAATGGTGAAAAAAAGTGTTACTGTCTCAGCTAACCATGTGGACAATGTCAGATTTTGAAATATTTTGAATTTTTGGATAAGGGATCCTCTATTTGCATTCAGAGAAGTCATTGCTGTTTGGCTAGCAGAATGAAAAAAAGTGGAATGAATTACTGACCAATATTTTGGCTGGAGCAACCCTTCATCACTTCATCTCTGCTTGTGCATGTGGTGCATTTCTCAACTAAGAAAGGATTCCTAGTTCTGAAACTTAAGGGTGTGTCTACACTGTAGAATTAATATTAATGTAGTTTAACACCACTTTAACTGCCGTGACTCAATGCTATGGAATAATGAGAGCTCTAACGATATAGTTTTAATAGCTTTTAACAGTTTATGTATTTGCATGTTTAATTTGTTGATGTTTAGTGAGTTGTATTTTATATATTTTGTATTGCAATTGTGGCACTGAAGTGACCAATCTGTAAGCTGCTCTGAGTCCCACTCAGTGTAAGAAGAGCAGGGTATAAATATGGGAAATCAATAAATGAATAAATAAATAGATCTTTAGCTTTCTCTGTGACAGAGTGCTGGTGCCTCACTGACTACAACTCCCAGGATTTCATAGAATCGAGTCATAGCAGTTAAAGTGGGGTAAAACTGCATTAGTTCTACAGTGCAGAAGCACCCAACATTCCAAAATCCATATTTCTTGTATGAACTGCTATGCCTGCAAAAGGGGGGCTCATAAATCTTGGATGAACAAAATAGCTCAGTTATCTAAATCTCTTTGAGAAATCAAAAGTGTGGATGGGTTTGCTTCATTTAAAATTCACAGTAAGTGAATTTATATACATTGAGTAGGAGATCAGCTCTGACAGTAGAACAAAAGATGCCTGAGGCTCCAGTTCTTTGTCATCATTCATATACTTTCCAGAGTCTAGATCAGTGGTTCCCAACCCTTTTTTTGATCAGAGACTACTTTGACCAGGGACCAACATTAGTACCAAAAGGATTACGATTCAGTTTTTGGTCAACTTTAGATTCGGTTTGGTTATTTGGGGTGCTGATTCAGAAAATTACATTTAAGAGACCATATCAGCTCTAGTTTCTGATACAGAACATATGCCATCCATTAGTCACCATCTGCTTGCCCACTAAATACCATATTTGATAATCTAGAGCTGATGTGGTAGTAGTAGACTTCAATTCCCAGAAGCCGCAACTGCCTTCACCAGTGATTACAGATTTTGGGAGCTGGAGTTCAAAGCACCTGGAAGACCAGAATCTGGAAAACACTTTTCTACATCAACTCAGCAGAAGCTGCTTGATTTTAATAGGCCTTTGTTAGCTAGTGTTCATTTTTCATTGTGCAAGGTATGATTATGACTGACAGATTTTCCTGATTTCTTCTCTGTTTTGTTAATTAAAGGTTTTATCATACCTGCAAGCTACCTGGAAGAATTATGGGGATTCGGCTGCTTCACTTTTCCTCTGTAGTGATCCTTTTGCTGCTTCTGGTGGCAGGCGCCTTAACTGCTTTGCTGCCAAACATTAAGGAAGATAAAATGCTTACTTTGCGAAGGGAAAGAAAATCCCAGAGTCAGCCTGCCTCAGACTCATTTACTCTCATTATGCAGACATACAATAGAACCGATTTGCTCTTGAAGCTTTTGAATCATTATCAAGCTGTTCCTCATTTGCACAAAGTGATTGTCATATGGAACAACATTGGGGAGAAAACGCCTGAGGAAACCTGGAACTCCCTGGGACCTCATCCTATCCCAGTGATCTTCAAAGTGCAAACCGTGAATCGCATGCGGAACAGGCTGCAGGTTTTCCCTGAGCTAGAAACAAAAGGTAATCCCTCCTCCGCCTAAAATGTAAAATTATTGTTTCTACACTATTATTTCCATTTGGAGAGGAGAATTACATCTAAGTGCTGTTTAACACAATATATATTAATCTTTTCCCCCTTAAATTTGGACGAAGTCTGTTTTTGGACTACAAGCTGGTGTTTGGGGGTTTCACGGAGTTTCAATCAAGTATAGTTTCTTGGAAATAGCAACCTCCCACTAGTTATTTGCTATGTATATTCAGATTGCTTACTGTATTGTATATGTGTGTATTGGTATGCAATTTTACCTTGACTCTTTGTTGAAGGAGGGCTGCAAACCATATGATCAGGTCTGGGCTTGTTCAGGACTTAGACTCCATTTTAGAACAGTATGTTTTTAAGAAGACAGTACGAACTGTTTTGCGTCCAGGCTTCACTAGGAACAATGTGTATTGTCGAAGGCTTTACATCAAGGGAACCACTGACCACATAGGGAAGCTGATGAGGAAACACAACCTACAAACAATCTACAGACCCACTAAGAAAATCCAACAAATGCTCCGTTCAGCAAAGGACAAGAAGGACCCTCTCACCTCTGCAGGAGTCTACCGTATACCATACTGCTGTGGACAAGTCTACATAGGGACCACCAAACGCAGCAAGGCCCAAACACGAATCAAGGAACATGAAAGGCACTGCAGACTAACTCAACCTGAAGAATCAGCCATAGCAGAGCACCCGATGAACCAACCTGGACACAGCATATTATTTGAGAACACAGAAATGCTGGACCACTCTAACAACCACCATGTCAGACTACACAGAGAAGCCACTGAAATCCATAAGCATGTGGACAATTTCAACAGAAAGGAAGAGACCATGAAAATGAAGAAAATCTGGCTATCAGTATTAAAAAAAACTCTAAAATTGCAATAGCAAAACAACAGAGAGGAAACAATCAGGGACAGCTAATCACCTCTCAACAAAAGATTTCCCCAGGCACTAACAAGCCACACCAAACAACTGCCAGGTGGTCAGTTGAAACATTCACACCTAGCTCCAACAGACAAGAGTTCTTTGTCCCACCCTGGTCATTCCACAGATATATAAACCCAATTTTCCTAGTTCCAATAGACCTCACCACCTCTGAGGAAGCTTGCCATAGATGCAGGCGAAACGTCAGGAGAGAATACCTCTAGAAAATGGCCATATAGCCCAAAAAAACCTACAACAACCCAGGAACAATATGCTTAGAGTCTTTAGTAGGAACAGAAGCCATTAGACTCCATTGGACTTTCAGATTAGACAGAGACTCTATTGGACTCTCAGAACAGTGAGGTACTTTAGATTATGGACTATTGATTCCCAAACAGATGCCCTGTGTTACCTACACAGAGAAACTACTTCAAATCTGTTTGTAACTTGTTTGATAAGCAAAGTACCTGTATGCTGAATACATGAAGTTTGTGAGTAAACCAATTGTGTTACTTTTAAAGAAGACTGCTTATTTTTGTCTCTTGAAACAAAAATAAATCATGCTCTCTTGAGAGCATGATTTAAAGGCAAATAAATTTTAAGGGAGAGTAGATGTTTTGGGGCAACTAAAAAGAACACTTCTGAAACCTATATATATATGTGTGTGTGCGTGTGTCTGTGTATATGTATGTTTGTGCATTGGCATATCTTTGTCCCTAGCAGTTCAAAGACATATTTAGGATATCAGCTTAACAGCTGAGAAGCCTAATTGCCATTTTCCCAAATGGTTATGGCTGTAACAGATCATGCTTTTGACCAAAAGGTTATGATATCATTTTTCAAAAAGTTATGACTTCTAACAAAGCCATGCCTTTCCAAAGATCATAAAATCTCCAAAAGGTTCTGGAGAGTTCAATTTTCCAAAAAGCTTTACAAAGCTCTATACGTCTAGAGGCAGTAATGCCTTCCGTCAGCCAGTAAATGGAAGGATGCTCACCGGAGTTTCCATTAGAGCAGACCACTTCAAACTGTGTGTCGTGATACATTAATGTGCCAGCTGCAATGTGTAGGCATGTCAAGCAAACATAAGAAATGACTAAATTCTTGGAAATGTATATAATCTTACAAATCATACACCGTATTTTTACAAATATAAATGAAAGGTTTCATGAGATGCTTTGTGCCCCTGTGTATTTCATTATTACTATTTGTGTATGTGTCGTATCCCTTATAAGGGTTGGTTTGATCTCTGGTTTGCTAGTAAAACAGAATTAATGTGTCGCAAAATGATGCATACCTAAAAAGTGTGTCATAAACAGTAAATATTTAGAAAACTCTGTAACAGAGTCTTGTAAAACACCATTAGGATTCCATCAGACCCCAGTTGGGTCACCAGGGCAGCTGAAGGAGAACTGGTACATGTTGAAGACAAGTTCTGTTGGTCCTGGATCTGAACTGGTTCCACATGGTAGAATTTTGTGTGGGGTTGTCATAGACCAGGCTGGGGCAATCAAGAGCTTGCATCTTGTTGAGCAGTTATGAATGTGTACACTAAATATGCATTTATAAGATACGTTTACAACTGTGGCACTTGCCCTAATCGCAAATGAGCCCCCCCCCCCCCAAAAAAAAAAAACCTACCTGAATAGCCAGCAGTCACATCAAGCAACAGAGGCCTGTTCTGCTGGCAGGAAGGGGCTGGAAATGTCACCCTGCTGTGCCCCAACAGAACAGACCTCTGCTGCTAGATGCAGCTGCTGGCTGTTAAGGTAGGTTTTTAGGAGTCCAGTCAGGTGGCAATACATTGTTAAGTGTTCTTAATGCTGTTGTCGAAGTCTTTCATGGCCAGAATCACAGGGTTGCTGTGAGTTTTTCAGGCTGTATAGCTATGTTCCAGAAGCATTCTCTTCTGACATTTTGCCCCCATCTATGACAGGCATTCTCAGAGGTTGTGCTGTCTGTTGGAAACTAGGCAAGTGACGTTTATATATCTGTGGAATGTCCAGGGTGGGAGAAAGAACTCTTGTCTGCTTGAGGCAGGTGTAAATGTTGCAATTGTCCACCTTGATTAACATTGAATGGCCTTGCAGCTTCAAAGACTGACTGGTTGCTGCCTGGGGTAATCTTTTGTTAAGAGGTGTTAGCTGGCTCTGATTGTTTTCTGTCTGGAATTCCCCTGTTTATTAAGTGCTGCTCTTTATATACTATACTGATTTTAGAAGCCAGATTTTGTTCATTTTCATGGTTTCCTCCTTTCTGTTGAAATTGTCCCCATGCTTGTGGATTTCAATGGCTTCTCTATATAGTCTGACATGTGGCTGTTAGAGTGGTCCAGCATTTCTGTATTCTCAAATAATATGTTGTGTCCAAGTTGGGTCATCAGGTGTTCTACTATGGCCGACTTCTCTGCTTGAAGTAGTCTGCAGTGACTTTCATGTTCCTTGATTCGTGTTTGACCAATGCTGCGTTAGGTGGTCCCTATGTAGACTTGTCCACAGCTGCATGGTATATGGTAGACTCCTGCAGAGGTAAGAGGATCCCTCTTGTCCTTTGCTGAACATAGCATTTGTTGGATTTTCTTAGTGGGTCTGTAGATAATTTGTAGGTTGTGTTTCTTCATGTCTCAATGCTGTGCAATCCTGGGATTTGTAGTTTGGTGAGGCATCAGCATTCTTTGGCAGAGAAAGCTCAAGGCCTTGTTAAACTATGCCTCCCATGACTCCATGGCATTGAACCAAGGCAGTTAAAGTGTAATCATTCTACAGCATAGATGCACCTTCCGTTCCATTGCTGGAAACTTTGGTACTCTAACACTTTTGCTTTTAAAGAAAGAATCCTAAGCAGGCAGCAACTGCAATGGGCACCTTTTTTTGGCCAAATGATGAGTTCACTTTTTGCCGCTGCACATTACATGCATCAGCAAAAAATGTTTGGTTTCAGACTTTTGGAAATTGAGGTGCACATTAGATACAAGGGCACATTAGACTCAAGTAAATATGGGTACAGACTTTTATATGAGCTGTGGACAAGTTGAGGATCTATCTGTGGCAAGAAAAAAGTACCAATGCTACCTTAGGGCCATCTGACATTGGAGAGAGTTGAGAGGGTTCAGTGCTTCTTTTAGGTCTTCTTAGGATGGGCTAAACTCTTGCCTTTTGCCACTTTATTTACAGAAGAATGTGGTTCCGTTTTTATAAGAGTTAAAGTACAGTTCTTACATTGACTTGTAGATAAATCAGCCCAATTTTTTTTTTGCCTAAAATTTTAAAACTTATACATGAGTACTTATATCAGCTAGTGTTTCCCATCCAGTTGAAAGAAATACGTTTTGCATCTCATTTTCTTGGTACTCTTGGTAATTCCCACATTGTATTTCTGGAGCCCCCGGTGGCGCAGTGGGTTAAAGCACTGAGCCGCTGAGCTTGTTGACTGAAAGGTCGCAGGTTCGATTCCAGGGAGCGGTGTGAGCTTCCGCTGTCAGCACTAGCTTCTGCCAATCTAGCAGTTCGAAAACATGCAAATGTGAGTAAATGAGTAGATACTGCTTCGGCGGGAAGGTAACAGCGCTCCATGCAGTCATGCCGGCCAGATGACCTTGGAGGTGTCTATGGACAATGCTGGCTCTTCGGCTTAGAAATGGAGATGACCACCACACATCTCAGAGTCAGACATGACTGGATTTAATGTTGGGGGACAACCTTTTCCTATTTCTGGCAACTCTCAGGTTTGACACTGCCTTTCCCATGTCTTCCATTGTCTGTCTCAGGACAAGACTAAAGTCGAAACAGTAAGCATATTTACTTGGGAGAAAAGTTCATAGTAAAGGAAGCAAAAGAGGAATGGAGGATGTGTTGCTGTAAGCTTTTGTGGGCTGTATGACCATGTTCCAGAAGCATTCTTTCGTGACATTTTGCCTGCATCTATGGCAGGCATTTTTAGGGGCTGTAAAGTTTGTTGGAAACTAGGCAATTGGGGTTTATATATTTGTGGAGTGTCCAGGGTGGGAGAAAGAACACTTGTCTGTTTGAGGTGGGTGTTAATGTTGCAGTTGGCCACCTTGATTAGCTTTGAATAGCCTTTCAGCTTCAAGGTCTGGCTGCTTACTGCCTGGGGGGATCCTTTGTTGGGAAGTGTTAGCTGGCCCTGGTTGATCAATGTCTGATGGAGGACGTGCTTTGGACTTAGATGCACAAAACTGAATAGGAAGCTTTTTATGCTTCTTGGTGCGTACAGTGCACTATAGGCCACTTTTCCAGTTCTGCTTGCAGAACCATTCAAGAGATGTGCTCCACCTGCTCAGATCATATTAAGGGTTCCTTAGCACGCATTTCATTTCTTTTACATCCTAAAAGCCTCTACTGAGCAGAAATAGAACAGTTATATCAGAATTAATTTAGCAAAGCACTCCTTCTTTCCACCAAAATGTATGTCTCTAGCGTCCCAAAACAATGGAATTCTGTTTTCCAACAAGATTAATCACAGTGAATGTGTTTCCAATTTGTCATATCTCTTTTGCTCAGTAATGTTTTTTTTTAAACATGTGCACTCATCAAAATGTATTTTTCTCTGTTCAGCTGTTTTGATGATGGATGATGATACCCTTGTTAGTGCCTACGACCTAGTTTTCGCTTTCTCCATTTGGCAGGTAAGGTTTGCATTCTGCTTCCCATACCTTATTCAAAAGAAAGTATATTTGATATAGAGCATTTCTTTAAAACTTTAAATTCATACATACTTGTGTAGAAGTCATCCCCACACAGTGAGGCTTGCTTTTAAGTACACAATACATACTTAATAAAAAATTGCCCAACTCTAGATTTAATCTGTACTCATGGAACATGGCTACTTTTTTTAATCTGAGCTTTGAAGCCAAATGTTCCATGAGTAGAGATGGAATCCAGATCTAGCATCACTTTTATTAGCTCAATTTGCCCAAAACTGTGACTATGTTGGAAGGTCTGTTGGGTGCCAGCACATCCAGAGAGCTCCATTCCTATAACTTTCATGTCAATGGGAAATTTCTTGAGACCATTGGCATAGCAAGGCTTCCACCAAATGCTACAGTATATAAGGTTGTGTATTTCTATTGTGTATGTTACTTTGTAAGTGCGTGCAAACAATATGCTACAGATAATTTTAAAATGCCAGATTGATTTTAGGTATGTTCTTTAAAATTGCAGCTTGACATAGGCCTACTTCTACACTGCCATATAAAGTCCAAATCATCTGCTTTGGACTGGATTATATGACAGTATAGACTCATACAATCCAGTTCAAAGCAGATAACGTGAATTATATGGCAGCGCAGAATGGGCCATAGTGGACTAGAAGAGAAGGAAAGTGAGAGCCCTTCCAGACAGGCCCTACATCCCAGGATCTGATCCCATGTTTTCTGCTTTAAATTGGATTATATGAATCTGCACTGGGATAAACAGAAAACCTGGAATCAGATCCTGGGCTATAGATCCTCTTTGGAGGGGTCCTATGACTAGTAATTTAAATACTTGAAAAATACCATGCAAATGCTAAGTATCTATGTTTACTCAGCCAGACCAATCTCCTATCCATGTAAATATGCCAAGGTCATAAATACCCTAAAGGAATCCGATCCTATATGACCTTGGAAACTAATCGGGATCAGCCCTGGTTAGAACTTGGATGTGAGACCATCAACAAATACCAGATGCTGTATTTCAGAGGAAGAAACTGGCAGAACCTCTCTAACTGCTTACCTAAGAAGACCCTACAATCGTGAAAAGTTGACAGGCGACTTGAAGGCACATACACACACAAACATGTCATGCAATGCCACTTTAGTTGTTAATGCCATACAGTAAAGAAGTTTCTGCCCTCTGCATTGACTGTGAAGGCTGTGATTGGCAAGGTTAACCAGCAGCAAGTCTTAAACTATTCAGGAATTCAAAATAGGCACTTTTGTATTTTTGAAAATAAAATATGATTTAAATAGGAAAATATGCATATATGCTACCATCAGTTTTCCCCATTCAGTGGGGTTAGGGACACAGGACCCCTATAAAAGCAAAAAGCTGAAAATTTTAGCATTATGTTTTTGTTTTTTCCTGAGAGCACACCTCTCCAGGAATATCTAGGTTTTCCAACAAGTCTCAACTTCCATTGGAAAACTGTTGTCTCTGGAAATTCCTGGATCCTCTATATGATCAACATCAAACAGAAGTTGAACATACAGTCATTCAAGAGTCCTACAGAGAACATTTTAATCGGATCTGTGAATAATAAAATTTATAAAAGTTTGTAAGTGTGGTGGGCCAGCTATATATATGCTACTATCAAACTGTGAGACACCCTAGAAAGTGTCAAACCAGTTTCAAACCAGAAATGATAGATTATTCGTGAGCATAAACTATGAGTGCAAAAATTATAAGTGTCCAGCTTCCATACTGCTCTCTTGGTTTTGTGAAGTATATGCCTCAGAATGTTTAATCAAATAATGCTATATTAATTCATCCCCTTTTGATTGCGCCTATGGTATAGTGTTGATGGTACCGCCACATCCATTGCATATTTTTTGGTATATGTCATTATAGAAGTTTGTGAAAATCTGATAACCTTCAACCAACCCAACCAGTCATTCAAATTTAAAACTATTGTTTTTTCCTTACAGCAATTTCCAGATCAAATAGTGGGTTTTGTTCCTAGAAAGCATGTGCCTACTCCTTCGGGAATATACAGCTATGGGAGCTTTGAACTGCAGGGTCCTGGCATCGGAAATGGGGATCAATATTCAATGATTCTCATTGGAGCAGCTTTCTTCAACAGTGAATACCTAGAACTCTTTCAGAAACAGCCTGAAGCTGTGCACGCCATGATAGATGAAACTCAAAATTGTGATGATATTGCCATGAACTTCCTGGTGGCAAAACATACTGGGAGGCCCTCAGGTGTCTTTGTAAAGCCAGTCGATGTCAGGAATTTAGAAAAAGAAAGTAACACAGGCTACTCCGGAATGTGGCATCGGCCCGAACACTTGCTCCAAAGGTCTTTCTGCCTCAATAAATTAGTTAATATCTATGGCAACATGCCCTTAAAATACTCAAACATAATGATTTCCCAGTTTGGCTTCCCAAACTATGCAAATCACAAGAATAAAATATAGAATTGCCCTGCAAGATAATGCTTCAACCTGCTTCCCAGCAATCAAAAAGGCACACAAACAAGAGAAGTGAATACATAAGGGTTTTGTCAGTAGTGCATTATTTGGAGCTTGCTTCTGCAAAAGCCCTTTGGAAATGTGGGGCCTGGGAAAAGTGGTTCATCTCTGTGCTCCGCATGCAAACGCTTCTTCAGTTGGCTTTCTCATTCCTCCCCATTTCAATCAAACTAACATATTTGCATGAAAATAAAATGTCCCCAAAATGCAGGTGCATTCACACGATCTGTGTTGCTAATACATCTCCTGCAAAAAAGCTGTATGCCAACAAGTAAGGTATGTTTTATTACCAGCCCACCAGTCAGTGTGTATTGATGTAAGTCACTTGTGATGTGAAGGAAGAACCGCTTTTAAAATACCATTTTCCCCAGCCATTGATACACAACACTGACAATTCAGCCAACTGCTAGCTTGTTCATGACACTCCACTCACATAGAGCATGTTTTGCCAATATCACTTCTTAATCTCACCCTTGAAAATAGGAATGAAAGTATCTTCTTGGAAGTACTTAGGAGCTTTAGCTATATACACAGTAAATTCATTCTCCCCGCAACAAATTGCAAAAACAAACAAATCGTACAGATGTTCTAAAGCAAATGCACATCGCTTTGGGTTTCTGCACACATGAGGAGTTTGCTTTCTCGGTCCTTGCATATATTTATTTTAACAGCAGTTGTTTGCATTTTGAAATTTTTACTGTGCTGCTCAGGCCAAGGACTACAGTGAATTGTTTGCTTTGCAATTCTGGCATAATTATGAGACATCTCCAGTTTTGTACTACTTGTACTTTCACTGGCAGCTCCCCATTAAGAAATACTTATGTGTTTCCAAAGTAGATACCATTTTCAACATCTGCGCTCCTAGAGGAGGCTATGAAAAAAGGCTGCTTTGGAAAACCTAAAACAAAAATAGAGATACAGGCTTTCCAGGTGTTCTGAGTGTTGACTTACATCAAGTCCTAGTCAATAATCATGCATGATGGGAGCTCTAGTTCAGCAACATCAAAAGTTTCCCCATGTCATGCAGCAGTCTTGGAGCTATCTGCACCCCACACTTGCTTCCTGAATTTAACTTAATAAAACATGAAGAATCAGTCATTGAGGTGTAGCCCTCCTTTGGATAAAGCATATACTGTAGTTCCGGATTTCTTTGTTTCTAAATTATAGCATTTTTTATAAAAAGAGAGTTCAGTTTTGATAGTAGGAAGTGCTAAGGATTATAGTAGATCTTGGGAGTGGAAAACTGCCCCCTTCAAAAATTGCCCTAAAGCAAGACATGGAGAATGCGGCACAACATAGACAACAGAAGCAACAACAAAAGTTTGTTGTGCTCTGAGCCTCTTCCTTCTCCATAGTCTCCATTGTGTGCATTCAAGGACTGCAGTCAGGTACCCAGTTGTGTGTGTTACACTGTAGCTTGGGTCTGGCATCTAGTAGCCCAAACTCTGCTTGATTTAGAAAATATTCCATTCGGATTTACACAACATACATCTAACTGGCAATACTGGGCAAATCTGCCAGGCAAGCTTCACAAATTGGGGCTTTTTCATCAAACTTCTGGCAGGCAAAAATCAACCTGGTGTCCAACTGCGCTCCTTCATTTAATGTCACAAGTGTGCATTTGTTTAACAGCATGTAGATATCTGAAACCGGTGGCTGTGTGCTGCCTTCAGAAGAAATAAATATTACTTAACGCTTGGCTCTGAAACTGGAGCTATCTTACTCTGTGTCTTAAGGTGCCATATTTCCTACTTAACACAACTAAGCATATTTTTTATGTCTGCCGTTGTTTTTCCTGTATTCTGTTCAAGAAATAAGCTAGAAACATACTGTGTTGGAAATAAATTTTTGTTGTAATATTCAGTGGCAACTGCGTCTGTGGCTGCCTGGTTCAGTTGTGTTTGATTTAGAATGTATTTTCCTCCCAAGTTTTGTGTGTTTCGCTCTGGGGGGTTTAATTTGTTTCTTCATCTTTATTCTCTAATACAACAGCTAATAAAGATGTGAAATGATGATAAATACATGTTTTTGGGCACTTTATTACATTTGTTAATGTCTCCTAATAAATCTCACTTAGTTCAATGGGACTTGTTATATGGAGGGAAGGATATTAGAGACAAAGTTGGAAGTACTTTGGCCACATCACGAGGAGACAGGAAAGCCTAGAGAAGACAATTATGCTGGGGAAAGTGGAAGGCAAAAGGAAGAGGGGCCGACCAAGGGCAAGATGGATGGATGGCATCCTTGAAGCGACTGGACTGACCTTGAAGGAGCTGGGGGTGGTGACGGCTGACAGGGAGCTCTGGCGTGGACTGGTCCATGAGGTCACGAAGAGTCGGAGACGACTGAACGAATGAACAACAACACCTTCAAGTTGATTTGGAGCTACAGCAACCCTACAGTGAACTTATCACAGGATTTTTATTCACAACATTTGTTCATGTAAACATATGTTTACAAATAAACATATGTAAAACTGTAGTTGTTCAACTTTTAAGGAACGCTCAACGTCAACCACAAGATTTAGTGTGAATCCTTGATTCAATTATTAAGGAACAGTCTGGTTTGGAATGATTCATAGATTTTTGGGTTAGATGAACTCAGCATTTGTAAATCTAATAGCTCTAGCCTCTTACTGACCACAGTGGTAACTTATAATTGTAAGTTTCAATCAGCTGGAACTTTCTCTGCTTGAGAAAGTAGAAAACATTGTGAGCTTGAAAGAATGGTCATCTCACGATCCCATCCTTGATGTTATGCAAAATCATTTGAGTTTCTGTAATAAACATTAAATTTAATTCACAGATACATAAAGAACTCCCAAAATAAATTCACCACCATACACCAGGATGGCACAGCGGGTTAAACCGCAGAGCTGCTGAACTTGCTGACCAAAAGGTCAGTGATCCAAGGAACAGGGTGAGCTCCCCCTGTTAGGCAGTTTGAAACATGCAAATGTGAGTAGATCAATAGGTACCGCTCTGGCGGGAAGATAACAGCACTTCGTGCAGTCATGCTGGCTACATGACCTTGGAGGTGTCTACAGACAATGCTGGCTCTTTGGCTTAGAAATGGAGATGAGCACTGTCCCCCAGAGTTGGACACGACTAGACTTAATGTCAAGGAGAAACCTTTATTGCCTTTAATATTTGTCAATAACAGCTATATATCGACTAAATGCACTTATGTGCTTAACAAACAGAAAAATGATCTTATATCTTTGTTAACAGATGAGATCGTAAAACGTTCTAGACTATCATATACCAAGTTCATACCCAAAACAAATGTAATAAATTAAAACCAAATAGCTGTAAAGTCATTTTTTCCAATTTCAATTAACATGGTCAACAATATGTCTGAAAATGTTGCAAAACCACCCAATTGAAACCCACTGAAACACTTGCACAATCAGAATCCCTTTTATATCTATACCAAAAGTGAAAGAGCATGGAGGGGGATTTGGGGCAGGAGCTTAAATTATTTGAAGAAACACAACTTTTAAAGTATACGTATTAAATGTAAATCAAAATCATGCTTAGACAGAGGGCAGCAGAGTGAATGTAATGTTGGTTTACATAGAGCAGTGGTTTTAAACCCGTGGGTCCTCGGGTGATTTGGCCTACAACTCCCAAAAATCCCAGCCATTTTACCAGCTGTTAGGATTTCTGGGATTTGAAAGCCAAAACATCTGGGGACCCACAGGTTGAGAACCACTGATTTAGAGACTGGTCAAAGCACATACTGGGGACCCTCACTTTGGGGAATTAGAACTTCACAAATTCAGCTGAACTCAATGGGAGAAGATGCAAATTCATATATATATACTAACTATTGCAGCTGGTGCCCTTTACCTGGGATTAAAGAGCAGAGCTTCTTTCCCATCCAAGGATAGGACCTATTTAGAAGCTTGAACTTCAGCACCAATCTTTTATACAAATTAAATTATATGTCACGGATTAAGCTAGTGAGACTTGGTAGTGAATGAACTGCATAATCCCAAAAGTGGGGAGAAATTGCTAGGAAGCTTCTTTCCGGAAGAGAAATGTTTTCCTGTGTAATCTTGTTGACCCATATTTAGGTATGGCAGTAATGAATGGAAGTAGAATTATTTCCTGAAGCCTAGTACTTAAGCAGCTGTCACACTTTTTTTTATCAGATAGTGTAGATCTGCTAGACCTCTTTTCAGTCGATATTACTACTGCCCCATAGCTCATTTTTCACAGTGTGACCAGGAGATGTCACTCTTAAGGAATCTTTATGAACTATCACCAGCAGAGGTAGCTGAATTGTGCGAGATGGGCAGTAGCCATCAGACAAATATTTTTGACATGTAGTCTTGCACTACAAATGTTATTTAATTGGTATATCTAACAGTGGATATGTGCATTACTTTAGCCAAGGTTGTAAATGCAATATATTAAGTGTTGAGATCAACCATGAACAATCATAACAACTGTCAGCACTAGTGGCTGCTTCTACCAAGTACTGAATTGATTTGTGTAGCATTTTAATAATTTATATAGTATTTTAATGGTGTATTCCATATTGTATTTAATAATCTAGTTTTTATGTATTTGTTTGTTTGTCCTATATGTGAAAGACATATGGTCTAAGCCCATGATGGCGAACCTATGACACATGTGTCAGCACTGACACCTGTAGCCGTTTTCGATGACATGCAGCCACATGCAGCCACATACAGAGAAGTATGGGGCCGCACGCCGAGAAGTACGTTTCATCTTTGGCTCCCACACGGCCAGGTATGAAACATTTGCTGTAGTGTAGTGTAGATACTCTGTGCCTGAGGTCTGTAGGCCAAAACAACACAGAACTCTGGCACAGAGCGTCTAGTTCTGGGACTTCTGGTTAGGCCGTTAAAGGGTCTTTGACCTCACTGGTGGAACAGGAAGCAGCAGAAAGTCACGGGGGAAATAGCAGGAGATGAAGTTAGTAGCTCTTGCTTGGGCTTGAAGTGTACAAAATACCAACCTCCAATTGAAGATTTAGCCAATGAAATTCAGCAACAAAAAAGTCACTAATAGGCGGGTTAGTTAAAGAATTCCCCCTCACTTATCTTAGTTCACAGCACCCCACACAAGTTAAATAATATCAAGACCAACAAAAGAATCCAACTGACAGATGAACAAAGAAGTCACTAAGAAGGTAAGTTAAATAATTAGGTTTTGGTTTATTAAATACAGTTATA